ACAACCATGTTCTTGTGGCTCCACATCAGATGGTCACCTCCAATGGCTGGAACAAGCTGGACCCTCATGGGCCTAGACATTTCCTGCTAAGGAGCAAAGCTATCTGGAAGCCACTTCTTGAACATCCAAGGCTGCATGGCTACTGCGTGCACATATGTGTTTCTCAAACAGCTTGCCTCAGATCCCCCTTCTGCAGGGGTTTTGCTCTTCAGGATGCCTGCTCAGTCTTTCCTGCCCCTTCTGCAGGGGCTTTACCACCATGGCACCAAAGCTGTCCCTTGAACAGTTTCTAAACAATTGTCAACTAAATCAAAACAGCACTATTGCCTCTTCTGCAGAGGCTTAATTGACTCTCCCCTGATTCAGCTGGACATGTTGCAACTTCTGCAATGCGAATCTCCCCCCCCTGCAATGGAAAAAACGCGCTCAAAGCATTTTCCTCAGGTCTGGAAGACTGCAATGCATGGAAAATAGCACTTGCGCAGTGCAATCGCCATGAATATATTATTCTCATGCAATATTGTATACAGCTCTCACCTCGGGTCAAAGGGGCTCTTCTTGGGGCTCTTCTTGGTCTTTGGCTGCTTGTTCTTCTTGCTCTTCTTCTTTTTCTCTGTGGCCTTGGGAGGTGAAGGCGGCTCAGTCTCAGAGGCATCTGCTGCACTCTCTTCAGCTGCATTCGTTGCATCCTGCTCCTTCATCTGCTCTGCAACTTCTGAGATCAGCTGCAGAGCTTTCTCTTCAGCAGCTTTCTTTGCACTTTCAGCTGCAGCTCTTGCCTCCTGAGCAGCCTTCCTCTTTGCAGATGCCTCAGCAAGCTTGGCCACTGCTTCTGCGAGCTGCTTCTCCTCAGCTGCTGCTTTTTTCTCCTCAGCTGCAGCCTTTTGCTCCTGCTCAGCTGCCAACTGCACAGCATCTGCTGCCATCTTTTCTTCTGTTTCCTGCAGGGCCTGCATCTTTTCGAAGTTGCTGGCTTCCTCTTTGGCCTCCTGCTCGCTCTTCCCTTGGCTCAGCAGGTAGTTCACCAGCTGCTGTGACTCCTTCTTCTCGGCCACCTCCTTCTTCTCAAAGTTGGCCACCTCCTTCTTCTCAAAGTTTGCCACTTCTTGCTTATTTGCCTCCTGCTCGCCCTGCTCCTGCCGCTTGCTTTTGCTTTCTTCTTCCCAGCTTCCATGCCATTTCCTCTTTTGGCCATACCCGCAGTTGTCGCACCAGCCTCTGTTCCTGTAAGCTTGGACCCCACACCTTCTGCACCAGCCTTTCCAGCTGGCTGCAACTTTCCCACCATCAGCTGAGGAAGCTGGGTTGGGGTCTGAGGCTTCACCAGGCTGCAAGCTTTGCAGCAGCTCCTGCACTTTTGCCCAGCCTCCTTGCCCTCCTTGGTCCAGCTGGTTGGCCAGCAGGTTCACAATGGCTTTTTGCACAACCTTCCTTTTGGCCAGCCTCCTGTCCCTGCTGTTGCCTTGCTCAAGGTCAAGATCTCCAGCTGCATCATCTGACGTCCAGAATCCTGGCCCAGAGCTCAAAGCCTGCAGCAACTTGCTGCACATCTCTTGTTCGTCAAGCTGCTGCTGCTGCTGCTGCTGCTGTGGCAGCTGCTGCGGCAGCTGCTGCTGTTGCTGCGGCTGCTGCTGCTGCGTCTGCAGCAGACCACAGTCATGATCCCAGGCTGCATGTTATTCATGCTTCTCACCAGCAAGTGTTTTACTTGCAAGCTAATCTCAGCTTGAGCCATGGAACTGCAGCACCAACAATTAATGTGTGTGTGCTCAAACGCTTGCAAATCAGCTCATGCAAGATATTCCTGCAGCCTCTTCTGCAGAGGCTTGCGCGCGCACCCTCTTCTGCAGAGGCTGTGCTTTGCTTTCCCCATCCCCTTCTGCAGGGGAATTGCTTTTTCAGCAGAGGATTTGCTGTTTGTTCTCTTCTCCGCCCCTTCTGCAGGGGAATTGTTTTTCAGCTCCCCTTCTGCAGGGGCTTTCTGGCATAACAAACTTCCACAAAAAACAAGGTTTACTTGGTGCACCTCTTCTGCAGAGGCTAGCCCTCTATGAATGTGTTGCATGGATAACAAACTTCCACAAAAAACAAGGTTTACTTGGCGCACCTCTTCTGCAGAGGCTAGCCCTCTAGCAAGGATGAATGTGTTGCATGGATCCCTCTGATGTCTTTACGTGTGAGACAACCCCAAGCTATAGACAGCATGCCAAACTAATCATGCTTATTCTTCAGCATCTTCCAAACTTTGTGCTTGGCCAGGAGCATGATCTCCTCTTCTTTGGCCGTGTCCCCTGGCCTCAAATGAAGATCGTGTAGGACTTTGGATGCCAAGGCATCCAATTCCACCTTGTGGATTTCCTTGTGCCCAAAAGCAAAAATCTGGCCCACGCACTTCCCATTGTTAAACTTCTTAACACCAAACTTGTTGCCATTCTTGTAGTACTCCTTTCTGTAGTGGAAAGGGCTCTTCTTGCCATGCTCTGGCTGCTTCTTTGTCTTTAGCTTTGGGCTTTTGCGGCTTGAGGAGCTCGAGGAGCATGGCTCTTTTTCCTCTGCGCCTTGGCCTTGCTGCTTGCTTGCAGGCACTGGGGTGTGTGGTGCTTCACTTTGGAGATCTTCTTGCAAACCCTGAGCAGGGCATGGCTCATCCTCAGCAAGCCCTACCTCACCCTCAGCTGGCCCTGCCTCACTGGTCAGCATGGCAATGAGGGACTTCACTTTGGCAAGTGAACCAGATGATGACTTGGCAACCAGCTGCTGGCACTTCTCTGTGTTGTTCTTTGCCCTCCTCAAGTGGTAGAGCATGGTAGAGATCCTGTCAAACCTGCTTCCAGCCCAGAGTAGATTCTTCAAGCTGGTTTTGTTCAACTCAGGTTCCAAGCTCACCGCCTTCAGGATTGAAGCTCTCACCTGGGTCAGCAGAAGCTGGCCTTCAGGCTGAACCAGCAGCAAGCTCTTCAGCAAGTCAAAGTGCATGGCTAAACTTTCTCCATCTGCAGCCTGTGCTTTGCTGATGGTCTCATAGGCACCCAAGTCCTGCCAGCTTTTATTGCTGTGCAGGGCCATGTCCAGCACTGACTGGTCCAGTGGTGTCACCTGCTCCCTCTTTCCCATTGCGCCTATGTGTTGACTGCAAGATCTAGGCCAAACGCGGCAACTGCAGTTTTCAAACATCTGCAATGATCTGATGCAGTCTGCCTCTTGGTCGCTGCCCATTTCTGAGGCAAGCAGCATGCCCTTTGATCTGTCCCCTTCTGCGAGCTGCAACCATTTCATAAACCTGCATTCATTCTAAGAAACCTTACAATCGAAAAAAAGATTGATATTTTGGTTGAAAAACACTTCAAAAAATATCAATCTTTTTTGGAGAAAATATCAATCTTTTCCTTCAAAAAAAATAGCTTAAAAAAACACTTAAAAACACCTAAAATATGCGAATATCAATCTTCATTTTCATGGATTGATTTTTTTTGATCCTGGATCCTCTGGGGTAGGCTGAGTCACGAGGATTGCGGCCGAAAGGCTTGCGTCCATTCTCCAATGGTCGGCGCGGTGCGGAGGTGGTGATGTTCCTCCCGGACCGCTGAGGCGCGGAGGTTATGTCTCTCCCGTACCGCTGCTGAGCTGCTGGACGTGCTCATCCGGAAGCAGTATGAGTGAGAGGGAAAGCAAACTGATGGGGGGTTACTCCCGGGTTTGCGGAATTCAGGCATTTTTCAGGTACGCATGGTCAGGAGTACCTCTTGCCGTTAGGCGAGGGTACTAATGGACATACGTTATCTTTTATTTCATGGCTTCTGATAAGAATTAAACTTCTTGCATTTCTGATGCAAACAGTTGTGACCTATTGTCGTCATGTGGACTTTTCCACAAGGTATGTTGGACAGCGTTACCCCGATTAATTCGGGGTGGTGGCGGGAATTTAATGCCCGGGATGTCGCGCGACTGCCTTTGTGGGTTTGCTCCACCGCTGACGGCGGTAGTGTCCAGCTGTTTGCGGACGTATGCGAGCAGTTAAATCCTATCAGTAAATGGCACGCTCCACCCGTCATATGACGGGCTCCTCGTGAGGGGGGTGTGATTAGCCATGGTTTATTTCATCACCAGGGATGTCGCGGTAGTGACTGACCTGTGGTGTTTGGCTCAAGTTTTGGGTTCCGTCGCGCCTCGAATGGGCGTCGCCGAACCCCTGCGTCGACCGACGGCATCTCGGGGGAGAAAGAGACCTCGGGCCGCCGCCAGGTTGGTAGGGACCAGTCGTGCGGCCTGTTGTCGACCAAGGTTGCGGGTTAACCCTTTTCTTGTTTGGTTTGTTTCCTTTTGGTTGTTGTTCTCTGGTGTGTGGGAAACCCTGATCTTTGGGACCGGGGATTGGTTTGCTTTTGGGGAACCTTTCTTTTGTGGCTTGTTTACCCCAACTTACCCATTGCCCGGGCACAGGCTCGTGCCCGAATCACATATATATATATACAACACAAATCCGTATATAGAGAGAGCGAGAGAGAGAGAGAGAGAGAGAGAGAGAGAAAGAGAGAGTGAGACGCTGTTGGGGCCCCAGTTGTTCCATGTTTGTTAGAAGCACATGGGCTTTATGCCTGTGACAAGACATTCCACTGCACGTTATGGTTGAATATTGATGCTATCTGTCATTTTTGTATTTCACGGGCAGTTGACAACATGATTGTTGAGTGACTTACCTATGGCGGGTACAAGTGGGATAAGTCATTCTGTTGCCTTCCATGCAGGACCCAAAATGCCTTGGCGCTTGATGGTTTTGGATGTACGTATAGATCAATGAATCAATAAAACACATTTAAACACATAGACAGATAAATTTGTATCTACGCAAAGAACCATATATATATACATGTACAATGTATATTATATATATACATATATATATATATATATATATTCATATATTTACATATATGCACATGCGCGCCTACACACCTGGACCCGAAGTTGGCTTGACGCTTCATGGCTTTGGCGGGTCCAAGGAACTTGGGCTTCATGATCATGATGACCCAATGGCAGGGCGCCAGGGCGGACGCCAGCCTGGCAGATCCTACGCTAGACACATCCGCCTTCGGGCTGTTCCTTTGGCTGACTGGGCTCAGCCCATTGGGGGCAAGATGAGCTCATGGCTGAGGGTTACGGAGCTCATGGCTGAGGGTTGCGAAGTGTTTGTGATTTCAGTAGTTTGCCAAGGGAGCGCTACATGTCTAGATCACCGCCTGATTTTTTGTCCACCGAATCCGTGAGCCATAAAACTGGCACCAGCATGTTACCATGATCGAGATCACCTACGTGTCTTTGATACCACGCACAAGCGCTCGATCTTGCGATGACACACGCCGCGAAAAGGCACCGATTTCAGGTTCTCCGAGCAGTTCTTCGAGACGGCGGAGCTCGTTTTCTTCTCCATGCACCTGGCTCGGGGATCCCTAATTATATGCGTATGGTTCCGTTTCGAGGCATAAGACACCATATTTCCGATTGTTTTCAAGCTTTTGTGCCCCACGTGGTTTGCTTTTAGGCGGGACATATGTTCAGCAACCGTAGCTTGGTGCCGAAACGAATTTTTCCCTGTGGCTGATTCGCTTGAGGTATTTGCTGGACGTCTTGGTTCGCATTGTGGTGCTGCGAAAAGAGTGGTACATGGACCCCCGGGAGGGTCTCTGCTACTTGAACATCTTCGACGCTTGCGTGCCCTGCACATTTGAGGTTGGATTGGTGATTTGGAGACGCATCAATGCCCAAGCCGCAAAAAATACTCCTGGCAAAATGGTTTTTGTGGTCGCTTTCTAGGCAACTGCAAATGCGTGTGCTCGCCACTCATCTTACACTGGGAGGAGTCATCGAGTAGCCTGCCAGACTTGATCTTGTGAGTACCTGTCCAGTGCAACTTGCTCAGGAGATCTGAGAAGTTTAGCTTAAGCCCGCAAAAAGGTTCAGGACAAGACCCGAGCATGGGGACTCCTTGCTTGTCGGCCATAATGTTCCCCAGGGAGAAGGTTCACATAAGTTTCACGCACACACACACACACATATATATATATATACATTAGTTTTTGTGAATGCCGGAAGGCAACAGAAACAGCAAACTCGAGTTGTTGATTTCTTTGGAGGGGTAGAGCTAAGCAAACAAAGAAAAACTGAGGGAAACCAAAGAGAAAAACAACAACTGAGAAAACCAGACAAAACAACAATATTGTTTTTGTCGGAGCCAAAGCTTGTCCTATGAGCTTTGGAGGCAAATATGTTTTTTGGTCTTCCTTTTTATTCTCGAGGTTGTTTTGTTTGTTTCCCTCGGTTTTCTTGCTGGTTCGGGCAGGTTTGGACTGCCATGATGAAACCATCTTGGAGCCACATTGAAGGGGTGTCAAGTCTTGGCCCAAGCTGTTGCCTCCTTCCAAGGCTCCTTACAAAGCTCCTCATAAGCGCTCCTTTTTTCTGCCTCATGGCAAAGCTCCTTACAAGAATCCTTGCACAACTCCTCAGAAGGCTCCTTGTAAAACTCCGTATACGACTCGAGACTCCTTTTGAAGCTCCTTGTGTAGAGTTTTTTTGGGGCTCCTTAATGAACATGGTCCGTAATAAAAAGGCTTCATGTAAGGCTCACAATTCCTTACAACTTTACAAAGCTTCGTATAAGGCTTCTTTTGCGACTCCTTATGAATCTTGTAATCTTGTTTTAAGGCTCCTTAAGAGGCTCCTTGTACACCTCCTTGTCAATATGCTTGTAAATCTCCTTTTGAAGCTCCTCTGAAAGCTCCTTATACAGCTCCTTGTGCTCCTTGAAAAGCTGCCTATGTGGCTCCTTGCGCGGCTCCTGTTGAGCTCCTCGTAAAGCGCCTTTCAAGGCTCCTTATGCCAAATTTGATTCTTGAATGAGATCTTCAAGGGGGATTACTTTCCACATGTAATGTGAATCTAACACAAGGCTTTGTGGAAAGGTAGTGGGTAGTAGGAGGTGAGCAGTGGAAGGTGGAAGGTGGCAAATGAGCAGATCTGCACAGGTATTGAATGGTAGCAGGTGAGGACATTTGCAAAAATGGAAGAAATGAAGAGGTGGAAAGGTGGATCCTGGTGTGCGTGTGTGATTTTTTTCGTACGCGTTTGTGGGTCAACCAGGGCCATATGAGTCCGGGGAAGGCCCCCGTTCGTCTGTTGCTTTTTTTTTCTCCAGAAAGTCAAGGTCCTAGCCAGGCAACCCGGAGAGCCTCCGTTTGCACATGGAGATTCTGGTTTGATCATTGATCCTGTTCCCCTGTTTGATGAGCATGCCCTCAACCCACAAGGATGCCCCCCGAAACAGAGGAAGAAGCCGCACACGGAAAAAATGGGGACTATTTCAAAAAGGGAGCACGCCTCAACCTTTTTTCCCGCGGAGGTGGTGTGTGTGAACGCCTTCGAGCTCATCCTTCTGCCGGTGTGCGGCCCTCAGAGCGCGGGTCACCGACAGGGGCAGGGTGAGGCAAGCCCCTTGTGAGGTAACCGCTCGGCGGTTTGGATGTTGGTGGTTTGGAGGTTTGAAGCCCTGGTTCTTGTGGAAAGATGGCGCTCGATCAACAACTATCTTTTTGGTTGTTTTGCTGGAGAGTTGCTTTTTGTCGCGGTTTCAGCGTCGTCTCCTTGTGGAGGGTAGATGGGAAACCACTCCTAGCTACCAAGCCACAAATCCGAATTGCCAAGAGGGAAGCTGACCTTGGAATGGAGATCGGCCCCTACCGGGATTCCTACCCCTGAAATCCACAGGTCTGGCTTTGCTTGCCCCTGATGCAACCAGCTCACCCATGTCTTAAGATGAGCGAAAACCCATGATGCAGGCGCTTGGCGGGTGTTTCGAGGAATGCGCCCAAGCAGAGTTGGGTGTGTATCAAAATTAGGGATCCTTGAAGGGGTTGGTTTTGCTCCGCGTTCTCCCTTTGAAATCCGTCCATACGCCTGTTTGCCCTGACTCAGGATCCTCAACAGCACACAAGACTCCCAGACCAACAGCATCCGGCTGATCAAGCTCATGCGCATCGTCCGAACCCTGCGTATAGTCAAAACCGCCGCACGACTGCATGTTGGTGCCTGGGGTGAAATAGGACATTGACCATCTTTCGCCGCCTGGAAACAGAACTGTGAACATGGACCCAAAGGGGGTCATCAAAGTGTCTCAACCCAAATTCAACTTTGGCCAAACCGACGTTGAGCTGAGGTGACTGCCTTTCGACAGCTGCGCCTGTTAGTGGGGACTTGCCTGGCCAGCATAGGCGCGCTCTTCTGGTCCATGGTACTTCTGATGGTTCTCAAGGTGGGCTTTGCGCTGATTATATGTCAAGCCCTGCAAAGCTACTCGCTGCAGCCCGTAATGTTTCGTGAAATCAACAAAAAGTGGGAAGAAACGCATATCCTTTGTTGTTTTTCTCCGGGCCTAGTGTTTGGCCCCAGTGAAGAGGCACATCCTGCACTTACTTGTCTTGGGTTGCCATTTTACACAGGAGCTGCAAAGAACCCAGTGTTTGTTTGCTAACCGCTCCACCATTTGACCATGCTTATTTCGCGTTCAACCTTTTTCTCCGGCATTTGAGACACGAGTGAGGCTATATACTTGACCCCGGCCAAGACCCCGACACCCGTGCCCTGGTGAACCAACTCTACGGCAGCTTCTTGAAGTCTCTCTACACCATGTTTGAGCTGACCCACAGCGGAAGTTGGCCAGCTGTGGTGCGGCCAGTGGTGGAAAGAGTGAGTTCTTGGTACGCGGTTCTTTTCCTGAGCTGCTTGGTGCTTTTGGCGGTTGGAAAGTTGAGCTTTTGAATAGTTTTCCCTTCTATCCCTGCAGCTGTTTCAAGCTTAGCATTCACCATTTAACCTTGAACCGCTCCGGTCAAACATTTTGCGAATCAGTTGGAGCAATCCAGGCTACATTACGCTGGTGGTCTTCGCCGTGATACGAATAGTCACCGCTCTATTTTTGAAGGAGACGCTTGCCAGCGCTGCCAACGACGCAGATTTGGTGATGGAGGAAAACAAAATTGCGGCCCTGCAGGCCGAAACCGACGCGAATCCGCGAAGTCGGAAAATTCATTGTATACCTGAAAGGGAACCCAGGGTTATCATCAATAGGGGCCTTCCTTCTGCAAAATGCGAATGCCTGACGTCGGCAATCTTCCGTTTGGGGGGGCAATCACTCGCTTTTATTTATCCGCAAGGTTAATTTCTGAAATTCCCGGGCCTGGGCGAAGTTTGATTTGGGCACTCGGGACAGAAGCTCTTTCATACGGTTGCCATGTCCAGACCTTGGGGCAATCTGTTGTAGTAAAGGAAGGGGGGTGGATAGTTTCCCAATTCGTTATTCCCGCGCCAAGGCACCACCCATGCTGAAATACTGAAATGAACTCACTGACTCGCATCCCCAGCAAACCTGAAAATCAGACTTGCAGCGCAATCGCAGGACAGACAGATCACTTGTTGTCAGCGGGGTGGGGCGAACTTGGTTTAAACCAGGTCTGAAAGGGGCCCCCTTTCGGGCCCCTTTCAGGAAAGCCAAAAGGATCTTGGTTGAGCCTGAGGCCCCTCAGTATATCGAACATTTTGTTTGCGCCCTGAGGGGCCTGAAGAAAAAGCGCCACGTATGTCCCACGGCCACTACATGTTTACAAGAATGCACACACACACACACACATATATATATATATATACACAGAAAAGGTATGAGCTTTATCGACCCGTTTGGAAAGCTTTCGCCCCCATTGTTGAACCAAAAGCTTCTAAAGGTGACGGGGGTTCTTACCGCAGATTTCAACCAGATTTCGTGAAGAACGATGGTGGACCACGGGGCTATAGAAGGCCTGGCCACTGGAGAAGCCGACAGGTAAGCCTGAGGCCCTACTTGGGGACCAGAGATGGATGACATTTTATGGTTCTGAGGCAGACCAGCCAACTGGTGCGAAGTGGATTTGGTCAATTGGTGGAACCGACAGCCCTTGCCATCGGGGATCCGTCCTTCGGAAGGCACAGAAGAAGCTTGAGGAGTTATTCCACGCGGCAGATGACGATGGGGATGGCAACCTGTCACCAGCGGAGTTCACCGAAGCGTCGCCGGGCTGATGTTTGGCGACATCTTGGATTTTTTCTAGATGGGTGGTTTGTGAGGTGATGCCCTCTTTGGATGTAACTGGAACTGGTCACCAGTTTCTGAAAGGAAGGATGGCTGAGGAAAATGGAAAGCTGTTTGCATTCGTAAAGGAACACTGGCCCAGGATTTCGCTGAAATTATATATTTTTGTCTTTCAACGTGCCGTGTGATAAACTTTTGACTGTGGAAGTCAACTGACTTTCTAGTCATCTTCTCAATGCACATAAACAAAAGTGCCGTGAGGTGAATCTCCTTGGACTGAAATTCGGGTGAGACATACTCATTTGTTCAAAGCCGACCTTTTGACCTTTTGGTTTTGCCATGTTGGTCCAAATATTTAGTCATGGCTCCAAAAGGTTCACCTTTTTATTTCCAGGTCCGAACTGGGCAACTGAGCATAGGTTGAGCCTGCCGAGTGTGCAGAGCTTTCTGCAGCTGATGGACGTCAGTATCAGAGACTCAGCTCAGCTAAAACTGTACCTTTTTGGCTCATGCGAAAAGATGAGACAGTTACTTGATAACTAGTTGAGGTTGGATCTTTTTGAACTTTTAGGAACCGGCTTTTCCATTGCACCCACGAAATGTTAAGCTTTTTGCAGAGGGGTCAACCGCAACCAAGATTAGAATGGGTTGTAGGGGTGCTGTCTATTCAAATTTCCGTTTGATCATAGGTGATCAATGTGCTTGTCTGGCCGCCAAGATGCGTTCCTTCCCTGCAAATTGACAAGGGCTCCAAAGGGAGCGGGCATCCAAGAAGGAGATTTCTCCAACAATGGTGGTCTTTGTTGTGGACTCCATGTCAATTTGCAAGTATTTGCTTTTTGCACAGGTTTGTCCATACCCTCACGTGCTGCTTAGCAGTTTAGCACCCATTCTGCCTCGAAGCTTGCGCCCGAACGGGCTTCTTTTGAACCTTTGGTTTTGTTGGGTTTGTATTTTCTTTGTTGTGCATTCTTTGCATTTCCGTCTGGCTTTCCCTTTGTTTCCACGCATTGGGAAGTTGTTTTCTTTTGCATTTGGTTCGCCGAGGAGACTGCCGGCCCCTCTTTGACATTTTGGATGATGGTGACGGGCAGATCACAATCTCCGAAGCTCAGCCGAACCGACACGGCGAAACCGGTTTCGAATGGCTAACCCTTGCACGCCGAGTAACGTAGCCACAGGTGCGAGACACCTGGCACGGTGAAAATACAAAAAGGAGTCAGGTGAAAGGGGCAACTTCGAAGGGCCGGAGGTCTGAGGCAAGTCAAGTTCCGGCTCTTTACTTTGCATTGAGAAAGCCCAGCTTGTCAGAAAATTACTTTGGAACTCATGCCCGCGTAAAGCACAAGTGGAACTTATCGCGAGTTGCATGGCTTGCCAGCATAGTATTGCCAGGGCTGGGGAACCCAATGCGTGGGTGTGCCTTGAAGGCCCAAGCCATGCCTCAAGTAACTCACCCCACCTGAAAAAGTGATTTCCTCCGCAAAAAACTTCTCTTCGCAGGTTTGTGGCCGTTCTTGTAGGTTTGGGTTTTGTGATCTCACAGTCTCTCTAAGTTAAACAGGGTCAATCTCGAAAAGCCTTCCCTTGCTAGAGTAGATGGCACAATTCCTCCATTTGGGCTTATTTCCTTTGCAAACGATGGAGTAGTGCTTTTTCATTATGATTTCGCTAACTGGACGCAAGCTTCATCCTAGAAAGCTGTTTGGATGCGCCTTTTGTTGATTTCCTTCCCCCTGCCTGCTGGTCCTTTTGTTTGTAATCTTTTGGTACTCTTTTAAGACCCCACAGAGGTGGATCCACAGATTCGCCACATCCCAGCCGTTTTTTATGCGTCCTTTGATATCCTTTACTTTGCCATATACTTTTCCTTGGTTGGATTGAGCCCGGGAAGTTCGCGGAGGTCCACTTTGATTGGAGGGGATCCCAAACGGTTTCCCAAGACCCGCCCTTGAGCGAGCACGTTTTTTTTGGAGGGCACTCGTCATTTCGAGCTGATTTTGAAGTGACCCCAAAAAATGGAAGAGCCGAACTCCGCACCTTGGGCGGTTTTCCCTTTGTCTTTTTTTTGGACGGCCACCCCCCCCTAAGCCGCGCACGAAGCTCGCCCTGCCGCTCCAAGCTCGCCCCCCGCTCGCCGCGAAGGAGTTCTGCCGGGGCTTGATGCAGCTGAAGGGCCAGGCCAGGGCCTTGGACCTGGTGGTGCTGCAGCGGGAGAACGCCAAGCTGCTGCGAGCCATGGCGCGAGAAGAGTGGGAGGAGGGTGGACGCGGATGGACGTGCAAACGGAACGGGCGGACGGTCGGTTCCGTGAGCTGGGTCTCATGGAGGGTAAATGCTTGGCACATTTTACCTGGAGGGCCCTCCGGCAGTGCACCTGCCTACTTTTTGTGGTTGAACTGGTAAGAGGCCAATTTTGGGGGCTTCGAAAGGGCCACAGCGTCATGTGGTACCAAGGTGTGGTGGTCACCCTTGGTGACCAGTGTTGCAAGTTCCTATAGGTGGCACTTGGAGTTTCAACGAACCGCTCAGTCAACACCCCCTTCACCTCCCCAGTGAAACTAAGGTTGCTAAACATGTGGGCAACCCAAGGCTGCGCAAGCAGGGCCATTAGATTCGCCCTGAAGCTTGGAGCCCCACCGCTATTTCCCACACTCGGTGAAGTGCCGCCTTGGCAAATGCAACGGCTTCTCCCCTTTGGAGAGGGAACCCACTTGAAAGGGAAATGGAGGCCCACTTTGTCTCAGCTGCGGGTGGAACGGTCCACCAAGGGGGGGGCATCTGCCCCAGACGTTTCCTCCTACATTTCCGGCGGGCCAGGTTGGCACTCCCAAAATCCCCATGAGTCGAAGTGAGAACCGCCGCAGTCGTCAGGCACCTGCAACGCCATCGGCCGGCACTTGGCAGAGCTACGGGCGGACATCGCAAAGCTCAGCTGAAGCGATGCACCGGTGTAAGCCCCCGGCCCTTGGATCGGCTAGTTTCGTGCTTTGCTTTATTTTCTTCCTCCAGGGCCCTCCACCTGTTTGTGGCAGCCACCAATCGGGTAAGGGGACAATGAACAGGTTGGGGGGGGGGTGATTTTAATGGCTGGAACACTCTCAAAAAGTTGGTTTGTGGGCAGAAGTCTCCGCAAAAGTCATCCAATTGCAAGTGAACCCCCGTGCCACGGCTCAGCTTTGATTGTTCTTAGCCCCATGCAGACATAGAAGTGCACAGATGCACAGACCCCCCCTTTTGTTCATTACTTATCTTTTGGAAAATGGGCCTACAAGCACTTCCGCGGTTGCTTCTGAAAAGGTAATTGATGTAACATATTAGATGTCTTGCGGAGGCACCCACTCAGATGTGAGGGGGGTCAGGGAGCTGAATGCCTGCATTTGCAGAAGGGGCTTGTAGGGAATGCCAACGGCAGATTTCAGATAGCTCCTTGCAAGTAAGAGTCCGGTGGTGGAAAGCCGGGTGCAATCCAACTCGCCCAAACTAGCACAGATGCATGTCTTCACTCTTCTTGGCACGCTGTAGTTTGTCGCTTTGTTCCTTGTCTTGTGTTTCGCGCAAGCTGCAAAGAACTTGCCATATCTTCTGCCATGCCAACATTTGGGATGTAGGTGAGCGGGTTGGATCTTCGCAAACATGTTCACGACATCTTGTCCGGGCGTTTAGCTTTAAACGAATCCTATCAAGCGAATCGACCTTTGACCTTTGAGCTTTCTTGATCCAGTTCGGCCCCCGACAAGTAATGGCGATCAAAGCTGCGGATGTTGCAGGCTTTTGCCCTGCAAAAGCGGCACGGCGATTGCGTGCACACTTCGTGCATTTTCGCCCCGCGACGGTGTAACATACACCCATGTTGCGGCGCTAGTCGGCGGATTCAGGTTCGAGTTTGGTTTCGGCTTTTTCCCCAGGTGAGCTGTTTCACCAGTGAGTCTCCGTGAAGCTAGAATCGGATTCTTGCCCAGAAGGGACAAAATGAACCGAGCTCTTGGATCAGTCTGCAAGGAGAGTCGGCAGTGAGTCGGTGCCCAGATGGTTTGGGAACAGCCTGAGCTCGTTTGCGTGTTCATGTTGCCAGCTTTCTTTGGGTTGCGCTCGTACCCTCCCATCAACTTTGCGTCACTTGTGTGAGGGTTATTGCTGTACCTTGGAAACCCTGTGACCTGCTTCGAAGCCCTTTAAAGGTGGGCGAAACCGCTTCAAAGCCATTGAGATCCCCCAGATGCGCGAGGGGGCGTCCATTCCTTCAAAGAAGGCGAAGACCTGGGCAAAAGCAGAATTCCTTTACTCCGATTCGGACTCCGATTCGGTTGCCCAGTGCATACCGCTCTTTTTTACAACTTTTTTTGCGAAGGGTCCCTTTGAAAGTCAACCACCCCAAAAAAACGGATGCCCTGATGCCCTGATGCCCTTTCTTTTCCCAATGCCACTGGGCATCCGAGGACTTCATTTGGGTGTAAGTGTAAAGCCCATTGGAATTATTCGGGGCATGATATTCGATGGGAGACCCCCCCCCAAATCCCGCGCCGGTAGGGGGACTGAGCCTGCCGGGATCGGGCTCACAGATCCGCGATCTTGATTGGGGCCTCGGGTCAGATGGCCGGCGAGGATTGGGAAGCCTCCCAGCGCACAATTTGGCGCTTCCTTTTCTTTTCTGGCCTTTTGAGGAGGGAACCACAAGGAAGCTGTCACCAATTTGTCTCGACTGCTATTGCAGGGTTGGATCTTTGCCTTTTTGGTAATTCAAGGGGTTTTCCACTAAACCCCCAACAAGTTAAACTTTTTGCAGGGGGGTCAACAGCAACCAATTTCTGGTTCCCTCTTTGACAAGGCTCTGCAGCAGTGGCTGCTGCAGACCTTGACCGAGCAGTTCTCCAAGCAACTGGGTCTGCATTTGGGGCATGCCCCGCTTTCAAAATCGCGCAAACGCACTTTGCTGGGTTTGGGCGAAAAAAGCAAGCAGTGTGTGTGTGTGTGTGCGCGCGCGCGCGTGTGACTGCAGAAGCTCTCAAAATCATGATTGCAGATGGGTACATGTCAAACAGAAATTGTAGCCCCAACAGCGCGCGGGTGTCTTCTTGGTTTTCCTCTTAACCCATCACCTCAAAGAATGTGTACAGCACGTGGGTTCTCACTTCCCGATTCTGTTTTGGACTTCCAACCAGTGCCAACCGTTGGTGCTTTGTGGTTTCCATGTCACCCGCAAGTTAGTCAACAAGATTTAAAAGTTTCAGAAGCGGATAGCTTTTTAGATCAAAAAATCCAAGGCACTCACATACATTGTCACCTTTTAGCAGGGCATGAACAAAAACAAAACGCAACACCCAGCAAACTCACAGCTTACCCATTTCCAGGGACAGGGATCCATGTCTCGATCCATGTCGGCTCTGTGGGGTCCTCTTTGGGAAGGCCACCAAAAGTTTATCCAAAAGGTTTGGACTCAGGGTTGTGGGATCACAAGGGGTTTTACCAACCACTTCTGTGATACTTTTGGGAATCTCCCCCGTTATGTGGTGGGTTAGTCTTTGGGAAGCCCTTATTGTTTATCACAGAAGTGGGTTTCATTTCTCACAGCCCTTGTTTGGACTTGTTTTGGCCCATCGCAGGAATTGACAACAGGTGATCTGTGGTTTCACCTTAGCTGGGTTTGCCCCGTAGGGCAATGTCAGAAAAAGCTGAAGCCAGGGGGTTGAAACTTTCTGTCAATGGTTCAGGTGTCAAAGTCTTTCTTCGAGAGGTGTTGCCAGCGGACCTGCTGTTGTTGGTGGGGCATTCACGCGTCCATTAGGTATCATCCATCCAACTGCAAATTATTGGGTGGCCCTAACTTGCTCGTTCGGATCTTGGACTTGTTTGCTATTTGGTTGAAACAGAACGGATTTACCATTCAACCCACAAAGAGTTGCCAACTTTTTGCGGAGGGGTCTCGCCAGCAACCAAGCTAAATGGGCTCCAACTGGATGCTACACATGGCTGGCCCTTGGTGGCGATCGGAACCCTTGAGTAATTATTCGACCCTATTCAGCAGGTCTGAACGTGTTGCCCATATCCCAGTTACCACAGCAGTCGGGAACCAACCATGCTCCTTCTGGTTTTTTAAAGGGTGGTGATGGTTTCCTACCATACAGGTAGGTGAAAGCACTGCCTTGGAGAACATGTCCGGAGCCACAATATGACCAAGGCAGGAGGATGCTATCCGTCGGCTGCTGCTAGAGGAGTCTGTTCGAGGAGTTAGCGGTTACATCGGAACACCAAATGTGAACATCGATCACCTCATGGCGTCCGCCAACTTGGGCACGCAAAGCGTGCCCCTCAAGCCAAAACGCGAGTCCGTCACCTCAGCTACGCACCACCTGCTACTCAGCTCCAAACCTTTTGCCGATTTCGTGGCCTATGGACGGAGCACTTTCAAGGGTAGGTCGCCTTTTTATCCTGGAACAGCTTCTCAACATGTTGCCCCTGAAGCAAAGCAAAGGACTGCGGTGAATGGTCGAGTTTTCTCGAACTTCAAAAGGTTTCGGCAAGACCCGCCATCAAATCTTCCGTTTTTCCCTGGGGAACGCTCGGGAGTTGGTTCAAGCCTCGAGTTTGATCGCCGGATGCTCGACGTGTCCGAAGTGCCCGAGGTCCGAGCCGGAAAGTGGGGAGGAGTCGTCGCAGGAGATGTCACCTGGAAGGGCGATATCCAAAAAGGAGATGTCTCGCTTAGGAAACTTGGAAGAACAGGAGTTCAATTAGATCTGGCGGGCTCTCTCTTGTTTTCCGGGCTGCCACAAGGCGATTTAAGGGGTTCCTTTTGGCGTTTGTTCGAGTCGGACGAGCGAGAGCTCTAGAGCAAACCAAGCGCTTCAGTATTTCTCTAGCGTTTCTCCAGGAGTGCGTGTTGCTTTCAGGTCGTTTCGGCCTGTGAGGAAAGCACATCCTGAGTGAGAAGCTTGCTCCAGATTCTCCATTTCGAGCATTTGTCAAGCGCTCACTCGACTCCTACCTAAGCGTCGTGGTCATTGTGAACCTGTTCTTCATCATTTTGACAACAGAATTTGCGTACTCCCAGGCTCAATACAGTCTCGGCATCAGCGATCTGCCATGGCAGGGAATTTCCGAGCACACCTTTGAGATTACCGAGTACATCTTCTGTGCCATTTACCTCTTGGATGTTACCATCAGGGTCTTCGTCCTGAGGAAGGAGTGGTACTATGATCACATTGAGGGCTGGATGTACCTAAACATGTTTGATGCGCTCCTGGTGGCAGCAAACCTCGTAGAGCTGATTGCATTGCCCGTGCCAGGGCCTTACGAGAGTTGGTGCAGCAGAGTCAGGGCCCGGACCATATGTCCCGAGGGATACCCTGGAATAGGATTACAGACTGATACCCATCACAGTTGCACATGGGCTGTGTACACAAGCTGTAGTCTTTAGCAGGCGTATGCAAATGTAGAATAATTGTGTAACAATGAATAATGATAATTATAATATCCTAAGTTTGATGGGCAAGTCATGCTAGATTATATACATATGTATGTATCAATTTATTGAGGAGGGCACCTATCCCAGGGGCTCGGAGCATACTTGGTGATTGCTTCAACCTGTCTTCTTTGTCTTCTTGTCTCATGTTGCCGTGCTCAGAGCGCTTGAGGCTTTTTGCAGGCGACCAGCAACACGCAGCGACGATTCGCGTGATCAAGCTGGTTCGCATTGTGCGAACCTTGCGGATCTTCAAGACCGTGCCCTGGTCGCAAGCTGACGCCTTTTGCGATTTGGACCCAAAGATTTGTTTTCCCTTGGCTTCACTTAAAAACTCTCAAAAAGGGACCGCACCTCAGAAAACACCCCCAACTTCTGGTCTCAACTCAGAGTTCCCTTGGTGCAAACTTTCAGGCTCGATTTGCATCTTGTGTTTTGCCTGCTTGGCCCCCCTGAGCAAAGCAGCCACGTGAAGGGTTCCCCACGGCGGGTTCTTGCAAGCCTGAAAAACGTTCGTCCACAGTAGGTGCCCCCTTAAAACCAACCAAGCAAAAAGTCCATTGAAGGCGTGCGCTCAGGAACCCACCCCGTGCTAAAGGAAAAGCCGAAGAACCGAACTCTAATGTAGGGGGCGAATAGGGGGTGTTCCTCTGCACAAGTGGTCCGAACCCCACTGAAAAGCAGGTGTTTGTCTTTTTCTTGGGCACCCTTTGTTGGTGCGAACACCATGGGACTCCATGATTTTGTGGTGCACCGAACAGACCAACTCAAAACTCCCGCTGGAACCGTCGGCGGTTCCTCGTCTTGAGGTCTCCTTGTTCCGGCAGCTGCGGATCTTGGTGGGCACCTGCATCGCCTCGGTGGGGGCGCTCTTTTGGTCCATGATTCTGCTGCTGGTGCTCATGGCGCCCCGCAAAGAACTCGGGATCGGTGCCACAGCCTTTGCAATTTGGATCCGCAACTGCCCCCCCCCCCAAAAAAAAACAAAACAAAAAACGATCGACGGGTGCAAGCGTGGAAGGCCACTTCCAAGTTACGCAAACTGCACATCTAGGTGTGTCTTTTTGTGAGGGTAACTGTTTTTGTGGTTTTAAAGGGAATTCGGTTAGATTGGTTGGAAGTAGATGGCACTTAGATGGGTTTCAGGCCCCATGTACCAGGGCCATCGATTTTGCCAGAAGGTGACCTATGCCTGCGATCGATGACGAGGGATGGGAATGAGAGTTCTGGAATGACCTCCGGAAAAAAAATAAGGAACAAAAAAAACACATCCAACTGGAACTTGCCTTTCGCGCATCCCCCAAAACACGCACCAGCAAGTAAATGGACGGATGAAGGGAAAAACCGGGGGGGGAGGGGGTGTTTGTTGAGAGCAAACCACAGGAACTGGGCTGGGCGCCTCTTTTGTGTTCGGAACACGGGAAGGGGTCGCGTTTTGCAGGTTTAGCGCCTGGGAAAGTGGCTTATTTTGTTGGTTTTCAGGGGAGCCAAAAGAAAGTCTCTTCGTGCTGACCCCGGATGGAGAAAAAAGCGAGCGAGCACCCCGGAGTAATAAACCCCCGGCCTATGAATATGCGGTTTTTGGGCCCCAAAAAAGTAAACCCCCACTAAAACCAGGGGGACACCACAATATTACCAAATTGGGGTCTAGTAACCTGGGTTGACATTGGGGGTTCGCCTACTTGGAGACACGCCCACTTCAATCGCAATGTTGGGTTTTGTTTCCAGCTTCTTAATATATATATATATATATATATATATAATTCTCCTCATATTAGCAGGATGGGTTTATTGATCCGGGGTCAGCACGAAGTAGTTGGCAACGTAGCTTCTAGCCTGCTTGTAAGTTAGTTGCTCAAGGGGAGTTGGCCAGGTCAACACCACTTACTAATTTGGCCGACAACCACATGCAGTTGAGGCATTTGATGCCAGGTCTTGATTACTCAATGGGACAAGTGACGCAAGCTGGACCCTAGGGCAAGCATTTCGATGGGTGAGGTAGCCTTGATGGCTTGATGGGAAAGCTAAGGGTTGTTCCTCAAGCATCCTGTGCATTTGCTTGTTTAAACCACCTTTTGGCTGAACATGACTCAAGCCCCAGGTAACAAACAGGGCTTCCTTGTCCGGTCCTATTTTCCTTGAAGGGAGAACAGGTCCACCGAAGCCGAGTCTGCTTCGGTTCATCCGGTTTTCCTCCGCCAGCTTTGAGTTGCCCATGGAAAGGCTCCCTGGTCCTCTGAACATGACAAAGTAGTCACTGGGGTGGCACCGTTCTCTGTAGGTAGTAATGAAACTCACCTCTGACCCAGTTGAATCAGTTGAAGAGTAACTGTTTGTAAATATGTGTCTCTTTTAGGATCTTTTTAGGGCACCCCCCCCGGAGAGAAACAGAAAAAACATGATTTTGTTTTCCCCTTGGTTTCCCTTTAAAGCAACCAACACACACCGGAACCCTTCACAAGAAGGACACGCCCGCATGTAGTCTTCTCGTCGTTTCCCGCCGTTTCGCGGTCGTTTCGCGGTCGAATCGCCTCGCGAGGTGGGCTTCGCTCTGGCCATGTGCCAGGCGCTGCAAATCTTCGTGCTGGACACTGGGGCGAATCTGGAGGAGGGTCGCAGCGAACGCTGGGGCGAAGGGGGGGTTGAAGTGGCCCGTTATCTTGACTGCTATTGGGTTGGATCTTTGGACTTTAACTTTTTTTGAAATCAAGGCGTTTTCCACTCAGCCCCCAAAAAGCAAAACTTTTGGCAGGGGGGTCACCAGCCACCAAGTTATCCTCCATTTGCTTTTTTGCCCCCATGGAACAGCAATTCGGAAAAGAACTTGCTACAATAGAGGACCCAATTCCAATTGGGGGGGTTCACATTATCTTCCACTTGTTATTTGTGCTTCTGAACTTTTGAGTCCCTTGTTGTCTTTGGGAATCTATGTCTACTGGAATTTTGTCATTTGCCTAAGAAGACTTTGATATTGCCCTGTTGCTTTTGCAGAGAATCCACTAGAAATAGGTAGCCCAATCCAATTGGTGGTTTGGATTGGGAACTGGAATTGGATTTTTCAGCCCTGGTTCTGAATGGGAAACCCGCAACCGGGCTCCAAAGCACCAAGCGAGAAGCTGACAAAAAAGGGCTTTGATGGGCTGCTTTGTGAAGCGTAGGGAAAGCCAACGGCAGCTGATTTCCGAAGCAGCCTAGAAGAGGAGACGATGAATTTACCGGCAAGTATGTTCAGACTTCACGGCAAGTTTCATAACTCCGGTTGGGATGGGTGGGCATCTACCGCGAAGGTGGCAATTGATTGGTGTAGTGTGCAACTTGACTCGGGGCGCATGGCGCACAGGAAGGAGTGATCAAGGCAGATCTGGTGACCCAGGCTCAAACTTTGCCATGAAAGAAACCCGGCGGAGTCCACAAGTGAAGCACCAACCGAGACACCACCGGAGCAAGACTAATCCCCTCGCAATGGTTGTGACTCGAGCCGGGTGCGATCCCCAGCCTCCACCGGTTCGGGGAGAGTCCATTTGGACGTCTCATAGGGTGCTGATTATCTGGCATTCGCAAGTTCAATTCCCGCAAGGAATCCAAGGCGGAGATGGAGTTGTCTTGTGTTTGGAAGCATCCAGACCTAGTGAGCCAGTTAAAGGGCTTTGCTGGACAACCAGTTCTGCTTGCCCAGGTCAACATGAAATCCCAGAAGCTCATGTCGCTTTCTTTTCTTTTTTTGGGGGGAGGTGGGGGGTGGGGGCAAAACGGAAGTTGTTATGGCGTTCGCTCAAAACGAGACACAACGTGGTGAAGGCACTATGAACTTTCATAGGGAATACTCATTTTGGACACAAATGCCATTTGGTTTTTGTGTCCACGAAAGGGATTGAGGTTGAACGTCAGGGCCATGCTTGCGGCTTCTTGGCCCACCAACACAGGCATGGAAGCTCACAGGCTCTTGGCGTCAGGGACACATCGAGCGGGCAAGCTTCAAAGGAAAGCAGTTCGCCCACCACGCCGACAGTTCTCTCCCAGTAGCCCCCAAGAGCAACCTTTCAAGTGGGACGAACCATTTACATCCACAGTTCACAGTTTAACTATCTAGCCAGCTAGCTACGTAACAAGCCAACCACCCCCCACCCGAATTCGAAATATTCGCAAGATTTTGCGCAGGACCGCCTTGCGATGTACGATCTCTACGGGTCCTTTGCCAAGGCACGTGGCCAAATGGACTGAACAGCCGGGGTGGCTTTCTTTGCTTTCGCCTAAGTTTTCGGCAAGCGACGCCTTTGACAAGTCGGACTTCGCGGTAGTTGACAGAGTGATGCAAATGGAAGCCAAACCGAGTGGAGCCCAGGACCCTTCTTCCAGAAGCATCGGCTTATCTGTGTTTTTTCCCCCCTCGGTTGGACCTCTCTCCTTTGTGGCTATTTGGTTGGATCCTTGGACTTTAAGACTTGTTGGGAATCATTGGTTCTCCATTGTGCCCACCAAAAGTGAATACCGTTTTGCGGGGGTCTCGCCAGCCACCAAGTGGAAAGGCTCGGTCTTTTCCGTTTGAGGGCCGAAGCCAATTTTTTTCCTATGGGCTCCCAGGAGCACCGCGCGACACAGAAAGAAGATAGGCCTCTCACCTCCTGACTTCATGAACTTCAAATACTTTTTGGGAAGTCCCATTTGAGTGGTAGAACCACAGAAAAGTGTTTTTTAGTGGTAAAACAACAGACAAATTTGGACCTTTTTCTTTGGGCCATCCACTCAGCTGAGGCCTTCTACACCACCTTCGAGCTCACCTTCAGCGGCAGCTGGCCCTTGCGCGTTCGGCCTATTACCGAGAAGGCGCAGCTCGCGGCGCGGCTATCGCGGGGATTCAAAGAGGCTATCTTCACTTCGCTGTTCTTGGCATGTGTTTTGGTTTTTTAGTTTTTTGTTGGTTCTGTTCATTTTAACTGGGGGTCTGCAAAAAGCAAAGTTTTTTTCGCTACCATATCAAGAGTAGATCAAATAAGGGTCGAGCTGTTTTTTTTTGACTTGGTCGGTTCATAATGTTTGGTCGGTTGGAAAGGGAAACCACAAGGAAAGCAACTTCTTCTTTGTTTTGTGAGAACTCCCCGAACAGAGATAAACCCATATGCACTCAAAAGTCAACAACTCAACCTTATCAGGACCTCTTCATAGTTTCTTCTAACTGGGCTGGGTTGTTCAAATCCTTTTGACGGGCACGCAATCTCCTCTGCCAGTGAGCAAAGTTGTATTCCGCAATTTGCGGTGCTTCAAAGCTAGCCAATCCTTCAATTTCATGCCAGACGGATTCGGCTTAGGGATTAAATCCTCCCTATGTTTAATCACCCGGTCTTTTTGCTGGGCCTGTCAATTATAATCCTTCATCCTGCCCTTGGGTCAGGAATGGGGGATACCCATTGCCAGACCAAAGGCTCACCTCTTTAACTTGTTGCCTTTTTGTTGTAGTTCCGTCAACTTTCCGGTCGACCAGGAAAAAGATAGGTTGTTGTTGTGGGCTCGAAATTTTTGGCCCAACCCAAGAGGATTCTGGACGAGGATTGGCCCGCTCCATCCCAAGGATGGGCCAAGGTCCAGGAAGTCAAAGGCTCAATGTCACACCCCAAGACTCACATCATTTGAGGGAACCTTCCGGGAAAATTATGTCAATCAAAGGGAGTAGGTGCTACATAGTCTCATTCAATTCATGTTTGGGTTTCCCTAGGGTTTTCCGTGCAGGAGAGATGTTTGTTTATGCTGTATTGGTTTCGTCTAGGCGCTTTTTGGCCGAACAAACATGTTGTTTGGCATGCTGGAAGGGATGAGAGAGCCGCGCACAAGCTCTGTCTTTTAAATCCTCCACATGCTGACCTCACTGTCCTTTTTGCCTTTTGGTTCCGGCCATTTTTTGTAGGAGGCAAGACAAGATATGCTACCATACCGCAGGTTGTGAAGTTGAATTGATGTTTCCAGCCGCTTGCTAGCGAAGCTCATTGAAGTTTCTTTTGTTCGGGGCCAGTCGCTCCTGATGACCCGAAATCGTATGCAATCACAGGGCCCCCCCCGTTCAAGCCGCTTCAGAAGGTCCCAATGGGCGCGACCCTGCGATGCTCACAGCTCAGAAATGAGGGCGTTTCTCAGGTGCGTTTGGCTTAGGGCAGGTCATTTAGCTGATTGACTAGCCTCACAGAGACCACCTAAGAGATTCTACCAAGGGACGTCGGAAGGGATCCCGACAGTGTCAAGACAAGAGTCCTATGGCTAGCTTTCTTTTGGTTTCCCTTTAGCCCAAACAGGCTAAGAAGAGCGTCACACCCATGTGCCCCCCCAAGCAGTTGTTTGACTTGGTTCAGATTGCTGAATCCTGGCATTCCACAGGGTGGGGGTTTCCGGACTTGCCTAAACCTCTCTCAGGTGAATATACTCTGGACCCTCCCACCCTTTTCACATGGAACTTGACGTTCGGGTGTCCTTGTAAAAGGGAAAGGCTCTTCCAGACCCCCTGTCAGGTTCCATGTTACTTGGTGGGAGAGGAATTCCTGCACTAGTAGGTGGCGTACCCAAGTTTCTCATAGGTCATCCATCCAAACTGCTGGAGTTTCAGTAATCAGCCAGCACGGACGCAGCCAGCTTGGTTCGCTCTGATCCGCGCCAGGTCAGCCCCTGGTACGCCATACCTTTTCTCACCTACATCGCTCTTGTGGTTTTTGCGGTGATAAGGCGCGCAGTGCAGGGATGGCCCATACCCGACCTTTTGACCTTTTAGATTCCCCTTGTCCATTTTTTAGTCATGGCCCCCAAAAAGTTTACCTGTTATTTCTGGGTGCTGTGGGCAACTGAGAAGTATATGGGACCGACGGTCTCATACGCTCCTCGCTTGTCATTGCCATGCTGGAACAAACCGAGCGAAGAGTGCGTAGGGCTTGTGCTGGAACTTTTCGCCACAGGATTGTCACGGCCCTGTTCCTGAAAGAGACGCTGACGAGTGCGGCCAACGACGCAGACATGGTACTCGAGGACGCTGTGCGCTCGACGAAGGACTACCAGGCTACTTTGCACCCATCACTTCTTTTTCCTGGCTCTCCAGTTTGCATTCGCTGGTGTCTAAGTTGTTTTCTTTGTTTCCGATCTCTGTTTGGCTGCAAGAATGTCGGCGACCATGTTTCCATGTTTGGAATTCCGGCTTTGGACTTGGGATGACTTGGTTTCTTTCGCGCTCCGCAGAGATTCGTGGCGTCCAAAGCAACTCCCGGGGAGTGGATGGAGGGAAGTGGGGATGGCATAGAGCCAGGCAGGTCCCCGGGGGGAGGGGTCCCCTACTAAAATAGACCACAGAAAAAAGTCGGGTACCCTTATTCGGACCTCTCTACTGGAGGACCTAGCCATACCTCCCTCCAGGCGGGACGCACGCACGCGTCCCGCCCCATGGTGTCGTTACAAAGTTGCCAGGTGAAGATCGAGGGGCTCTTCCACTTGGCAGACGCTTGGCTCGTGGCAGCAATGGCGCCCTTGGCCACGGCCCGTGGCCATTGCCCGCGACCCGTGCAGTTTTTGCGTTTTGGAGGGCACAAGGCTTCCAGTTGCCACTGGCCGGCTTTAGCATCTGGACTAGATGTAAATCCTGGTGGCCTACGGTGGGAACCACTGAGCGGTGGGGCCAATCCACAGTCGTGAGACTGAACATCGGTTTAGGTGCAGGGTTCACGTTTGATTACTCCAGCAGTGGGTCATTTCCCCCAAACGGAACCTAGAACCTTGGGACTAGTAAACAAACATGGCACTCTTTTAGGTGTGCCTCATTCATTGAAGACGGCAGTACCTAATCTTCCATGGGCAGCCATGGGTGCATCTTTGGGTAATCCCCTGTTTAGTGGCCGATTGCTTCCGCTTTTCTAGTTTTGTCATTTGCTGCTTGAAATGTCCCGATCAGATTTGCCCAATTGAATATTTTGCTCATCAAAGTCAGGCATTTCCCAGCTCAGCCTTTGTCCGGACATCCAAAGAGTGCCAGTTTCTACTAGCTTGGGATTTTCAACGAATAGTTTTCTCTGTGACAAAAGCGGGGGGAGGGAATGGGGGTCCATCCTTGTTCATCTGGGGTAAGTTGGCTCCGCATTTCGAGCCCTTGCCTAGGACAACGACGGGGATGGGACCTTGTCCTACGAGGAGTTTCATGAGACCATGACGCTGCCCAGCGTGATGAACTATCTGACGCTCGGTTCCGGGCCTATGTCATTTTGAGGCTGAGACGTTGAAAAATAGTTTGGCGTTGCTTCCGTTCCGCCCACTACTTCGCGGGTATCAATTGAATTTCCCCAGTGTCTGCTCACTCCCTGAGTTCTTGAACTTTGGGGGAAGACCATTTTAGTTGCAAGCAAACAGTTTGGCCTTCTTTTAGAATATCTTGTTTGTCTGGTCTAACTATTTTGACACAACCCCTGTCTTGACAAAACCCACGTTGCCTGCGTTGAGGGTTACAAGTAAGCATGTCTTGTTTGGAGGGTAGCTTTTGTTGGGTCCGTTGCTTAAGGAATCTCAGGGACCCACTCGATTCAGACACAAGCCCACGTCAGTTCCCTTTTGGTGCTTGGCATTGCGACGGAGGTTTGCCTTGCTATGCTTGCCGAAGGCTCTCGTACATAAAGGGTGTTACAGTGGACCGTTTGGCCGACTCTTTGGGCCGCCCAAGGCGCCATGGGCGGCTTGGGGTAGTCCTGGAGGTCCAATTGATACAGAAATTTGTGCTCGAATGTTTTTGGCGAAAAAAGTGCCCGAAACGTTTCTGGGAGCCAGCGACTTGGCGCTAGTGTAGTGACCAGAATTTGGGCAGCTGTTAAAATTGCGCTCGGTTGCGCGGATTTGCGCCCGAGTTGCGCGAAATTGCGCCCGAAGTTGCGCCGAATTGCGCTCGAAACACGGTGCGCATTTCGGGCCAAGCCGTCTTCAAAACTGTTCGTTTCCAATCGGGCAGAAAAAAGCGTTCGAACTCCGAAAATGCAATTGAGCACTTTTTTCTGTATCAATTGGGCCTCCAGGGTAAGTGTCAACGACGTCTTTCGGGGCCATTCAGGACAAAGCGTCACACACTTCCCGCTGTGAAACTTCAGCGGGGGCCAGCTCCAAAATGGCGGGCCCGACCAAATCGTGATGGGTACTATATATCCCCGCCGAATCTTGATGTCCACACAAATGGTTCCTGTGGAATCCACACAAATGGTTCCTGGAATCCACAATTTTGAGGTCCACACAAATGGTTCATATTGTTCTCACGGCCCTATGGCTCCCCAGGGCCATGGACTCTTTGCCGTGAGAACTCCAGGCCGCTTTGCTGAGGAAAAGCATGGACTTGACGGTGCACGACTGCAAGCCTCTCTTCGAACTCTTGGATGATGGCGGCTGAGCCAACTTCGGCAAGCCTCTTTTTGCGGTTTTTCCCCTTAACAAGCGAGGAGTTATGAGGACTTGAATTTTGTAAATCGACAAAACCAGGTATGCAACACCCTGGTAAACTCGCTGATTCTCTGCCTCTGTGAAACCCAGGGTGTCCATTTTAAGGTGGGGAACAAATCGGCCCCAACCACTACACCATTTTTCTTCTTACCGGCGCCTGAACGGCCGAAAAACGCAATCAACTGGTCCAAGGAGATGGCAAAGTCACCATCACGGAGTTCTGCAAGGGCCTCTCCAAAGTAAGGGGCCAGGCCGGGAAGACGGGAAGACGGGAAGACGAGTGAGTGAGTCTCCCAGGTGAGTGAATCTTCTTCCAGCGGAAGTTTTTTTTTTAGCGTCTTTGGTGAGAGCAACTTTGTTGCTGGGTTTTCAAGGGAATCCGAAGGACACCGAAGCCATGTGGGGGTCAACCTTAAAGGGCGAGCTCGCAGTTGTCTACTGGATCTTTCGGGGAAGTGAGTGAAACTACTTGGCCAAGCTGAACGACCCCATTCTCGGGGCTGGTTGGGTTGGTTGCGCCTCAAAAACCCAAGACCACTTGCGAATGGCCCGTTTTACCTGAAAGCGTCTCAAGTCAACCCCAAGCCCTTCGTCTCCAAATAAATCCTCGGGAACGCAAAATGCGAGGCGAAGGCTATCGACTTTGTGATTCTGCAGCGGGAGACTGCCAAACTTCTGAAGGTGTGCCGGGTCCGCTCGCCTTTTCGGGAGCCAGGGTGTCCTCGATTTTCGGCCAGCTTGAACAGGTGAAGCCCAATAGCTTTGGGGTTCCCAGCCATCCGGTTCCTTCGCTTTTTTGCGCCTTTTAGGGTTTTGTGGTAGTTTCCATTCCACCCACGAACAGTATATAAAACTGTTCGCAGGGGATCTGGGGGCAGCCCAGATAGGTGAATTAACTTTTGGGGACTGGGAATCGAATCAGCCTTTAAGCCTCCGGCCAGAAATGCCCACCTTTCCCTTAGTCCATGAGCATGGGCATTTTTTGGGAACCCCCTCACGGCTCCATCTGAGATATTGCAGTGTATTCAATTTGGAGCAAAACACATTGAGATCCCCAACACTCCAGCTTGCCTGTTTGAAGGGTGAGTTGGCCACGGATTCGTGGGAGAGTAGGCCAGGCCATTTTTACCTGCTCTCTGGCTGCTCTCTGTTTGAACTTGCCGATTTTTACCAGGTGAGCGATCACAAGTCCAACGAAGAAACGTATTTTTGGAGTGCCAAAATGGGATTTTGACGGAAGGATTTTTGCAGAGCACGGAAGCTTCTCACAGAGCATAGTGCAAAGTGTGTTTTGGTGGAAGGCCGCGGAAACTCTGATCTTTTTTGGCTTGCCTTGCACTGTGCAAACAAGGAGCTACGAGCAGGTCACATGATTTTCCGACAACATGGCTTCACTCATGCAAGTGCGAGTGCCTGCATTGACTCCAAGACAAAAATTAAAACACCAATTTGGCATGTGCGGAAGCTGCAGAAGCAAAACCCCATGTCGCCGATACTTGCGGAAGCTGCGCAGCTTCCCGCCCCACATTATGGCATCGTGTCCTTTGAATTGTGGTCGTTGCGCAGGTAAGCCTTTGCTGGTGGTTTGCTCGGACAATCGGCACACCATCCCTAAGTTCCAAATCATGAATTGCTCGACAGCAGGGAATGCGAAATGGAATGCCCCGTATAAGCCATCCCCGATTTGGTTTCCTTTAAGGGAATCCCCAGGTTTCCCCAAACCCTGAGTCATTCCCTACCTATCGCACCAGCAAGTTTAGGGGAACTTCTACTTTGAAAAACACCCATAGGCCGACTCGGTCAGGATGATGATAAAGTTTGCATGATTCATCAGGTATCCCTTAATTGGTGGTTTGGATTGGTGGTTTGGGGATTTGAACCCCTGATTCCTGTAGAACCCACTCCCTAACCACCAAACCACCAATCCAAACCACCAATCAGAGGGAAGCTGAATTCTTGGAATCGGGGGAAAAAATACAAAACACACCCAAGGTCTCATGTGGCTATGAATTTTAATGGGGGACCCGCTGAAAAGTGATTGGTGGACATAAACCCCCACCTAAATGATGTCCACCAAGGGTCCCCAATTCAAATCCATAGCCATACCATTTCAGTACCTTTCCTGCCTTCGAGCAATACATTTGAAGTCACCTTGAAGATGGCTTCCTCCATGTTTGTTTTGGTGGTTGTGACAGATAGTCTCCTCGGCTCCCTAATTGCAATTCATACTCATTTGCTATTTGGTAACCGTTCGTTGGTGGTTTGGATTGGTGGTTTGGGGATTTCAAAATATTTGTACGGAATCAACCAAACACCGGGGTCCTATGTCAAGAGTTTGCAGGAAGCCCGGCAGACCCGCCGCGAAGTGAAGCGCACCGCCGCCGGCCTGCTGCAGCTCTCGCGGGTGGTTTCTCCAAAACCCCGGGAGGCGGAGCCTCGCCCGGGATGTTTTGTTTATAATAGAAAAGGAACCAACCCCTTACGAAATATATAAATACATAAATACATAATATGTTTGTGTAATTCCTGTTTCCTGTTTTTGGAAACAGAAACAGGAATTACACAAACATATTATTTATTTACTGTATTTATTTATTTATTTATTTTGTAAGGGGTTGGTTCCTTTTCTATTATTTTCAACCATCGTTCTTCTCAAACAGGCTGTTTCGCCTGGGATTTTGATGGTTTCCGGAAAAGAAGGATCCTTGGAAAGATTGGGGAAGGTACCTCCCGAGATGTTGTAAGGGGACGATCACCCAAGTGACACCGGTTATAACCAATAACCTAATAACCATTGGCATTTCAGAGTATGTGTTTAGTTTCCATCCTCTTGGTTTTAGAGATGGCATCGATTTCACTATTGGAAGTATGTTCTCATTTATTCCGGGGAGCGAAAACGCAATTGGAGATTATGTTGTAAGGGGACAATCACCCCCTACACCCCATGGAAAAAGCCTACTTACTACGTTACTTGGCGCACAGGGAACGAGAAATGGAATGAAACCTATAAACCATCTCCGATTTGGTTTCCATTTAGGGAATCCCCAGGTTCATTCCCCCATTTCCTGCTGAGCACCAGCAAATATTTGGTCAGATCTTTGGACTGTAACTTTTTGGGCAGCAGTGGATTTTCCCCCAGGCTCCCACAAGCACAGCCCAGTGTCACTTGGAGTAAGTTCTCCCGGGCCCGGAGATCAACCCAATCAAACCGCAGAAGGTCAGCGGACCTCTTTACGACTTTTGGTTTGTGAGCCCTGAACTGCGGACTTGGGGGAGAGGGGGAGGGAATTCCATTTTTGGGGAGGAACATCGCCGGCCTTACTCACCCGTGAGTTGGCAGTTTTAGGTTTGACACCTACCTGGCTTCATCGCGATCAATGCTAGGGCCATCATGTACATACCGTAGGCGAGCCCTTCAGGGGGTTTTCCATTTGCCAGGGCAAACTATTTTACCAAAGGGATACCTACATCAGAAGGACAAAAGTTTATGCCTCTTGATGGTTTCTGCAAAGCCGTGTGGATCTCCCGCGGATCGAATTTCCAACTCCTTTTCATGTGGCAGGAGTGGGACGGTCAATTATCACCCTCTTTTAAATTTTAAATACTTTAAAGGCTTTGGAGTGTGACAATTCGACCGCGAATGACCCAGCAACAACTTGCAGGATTCTAGGGGGAAAGGGTTGCTTTTTGTGGGAAGGCCCAAGAGGCACAACTTTTGTCCTGGTGGTGCGTCACGGGAGGGGTGTTGGGTGACAGGCTGCAGACGAGTGATTCTCAATTTTTGTCAATGTGCAGAACTATGTGTTTGGACCTTCCCTTGAAACCGTTGCGAGGATCAGACACTTGAAGAGGCAAGCAGACACGCGACGGACATGTTTGTACTCAGCCAGAGGACGCAGCGCCGTCTTTGCGGACCACTTCCCGGCAAGTCTTCATGTAGGCCCTGGCGATTCGCTTTGCGGTCGCCTGTGCGTGGGCAGATTTCAGAACTGCGCGGACTCGGGCCTTGTAGGCCATCTTGCTCAGGCAAGGCTTCCTGTTCAGGGCATCCTTGAGGTCCATCTTCCGAAGCCGTTCTTGAGGTAGCCCCAAAATCTTTCAATGGGGTTCAGATCTGGTGACTTGGGCGGGATCCTCCAAAGGCGAACGTTCACCTTGCGATACTCGTCTTGGCACTGTCTGGCTGCCAGAAACCGTTCGTTGTCACAGAGCAAATGCCAAGGTCCATCGGCTTTCACAGGGTCCAGGGATTTCAGCGCAGACACAAGCCTCCCAGACTTCATGACATTGACCCACTCACCCTTCGTCAGCTTCTTCTTCAAGTGAAACGTCACAGCTGCGAACCCACCTGCGCTGAGGCCACCCCATAGAGGGACACATCGGTCAATCGGGCATTGCTTTGAAAAACCATCCTGCCCGGCCAGGGAAGGTTCCAACCTCTCTGACCTCAGGCGCCACATGTGTGTCTGTGAGTGTCGCAAGTGGTTCAAGCGGTCGGTAAGGTCCCTTGGTGGCATGGTCAGTACACAGCCATCCATTGAGAACGACAGCTTTTCTCGCAGCCTGCGCGCGCCCAGGTTCAATACAGACTGCGCAAAGGCCTGTCGCTCACGCATCTGCTGCGCGCTGTACTTCCGCTTCTGCCCTCGGGGTAGCCACTTGTAGCCCTGCGACAGCAAGAACTTGCGCACAGTGGATTCTTCCACTTCAACGCCTTTCTCCTTGGCCAGCTCCGTCTGCAAGGTTTTGCTGGTGCAAACCAATTCCTGTCTCAACTTCTTCAGCCTGCGCAGCAAGAAGTTCTTGGAGTCTTCGGTGAGCTTCCAGGGACGGCGGCCACACTTCTTGTAGCCAGACTGCTTTCGGCCTTGTTGATGGGAAAACAGCTTGTAGTACTGACCACAAGTTCGTCTTGATGGCCGCTTCCCAGCTAGGTTCTTCACCTTCCGGGCGATTTGCGGGAATGTCAACCCATGCACATCTCGTAGAATGACCACCTTGCGTTGGTTAGCAAAATCCAGCCCTCGTGGATGCACGCTCTCACTCACAACGACCATCTCAGGTGAAACAGCCGCTCGCGTGCTGCAGGTGTGGGAAGCTTGATCCAGCAGAGGCGGCACCAACGCACCAGACTGCAGCAGAAGGCTTTCAAGATGCGGTAAAGGGACAGCAGAAAATGACAGACACGGATCCCTTATGGAGACGCCAAAGCCCCTAGAGCCCAACCCAGTGGCAGCGCCAAACACTTTTGACTCAGATGACACACGGCGTTAGCAAACGTCAGCTTCGTGCAGGCAGAGAATTAATAGCGAATTACGGCACAGCCGGTGGCCATTCCACGACCTCTCGGTTCTGTGGCCTGCTGAGCCAGTCATTGCTTTGCAAATGACCAAGGTTCTGTGTTGTGAAGTTAATGGTGACCACGGTTGGTATCTTAAAGAGGTACTTGGTGTAGAAACAAGTTCCCCCTTGCGTGGTTGCGAATTCAATCCGGCTGTCATACTTGCCCTGAACCTTTTCTTGGTGCATGACTAGAAACTCCAAGTCACGCACATCGTCAAGAATCAAGGCATCATGACAACCACGCTTGAACTCCACCATCTTGGAAGGAAACACCTCGCTCTTGCCAACCTTCAGCTCCAATGGGTTCTGGAAGAGGCTCTTGGCGTACTCTGTCTTGCCGGACGCAGACGCGCCGATCAAGATAAGCAACGGGTAGCGCAAGAGGTCGGAGTTGAAGTTTCCCAGCCACGCTGTCACGGCGGGCACCACTGGGAAAGGCTTGTACAGCGAAGGGTTGCCTTTGATTCGCTTCACAACCTGGTCGATCTCAGCTTGCTCGACCCGCGCCTCGCCCCAGGACTTGCAAGCGTCCAGGTTTCGCTTGCGAGCCTGAACGCCATCCCGGGCCAAGAACAGGTACTCCTCATAGACGGCATCGTCCAGCTTGTAGTGCTTCCAAAGAGATTCGGGCCATTTGCCTTGCACCCGGTACGTGGCGATGCCAGTAGCCTCACACCATGCCGGCATGTAGTTGCCTGCTACGCACTCCTTCCCCGAATCGTCCACCATGGTGCCGATCTTCTTTGCGAAGACATAAAAGAAGCCTCGATCCATGCTTTGCTGCGGATTCCTGCGCCCCATGCCCTCGCCCAGGTAATCATGGGCACTGACGTTGGGAACGATGCCTTCGAAGGAGAAAGAACGACTGGTTCTGTCCTGCTTCTTCCGGAACTGGAGCATGACATGCGAGTGTAGGCGCCCAGTTTTGCATTTCTCCAATGTTGCGCACCAGTACTTCACCTGCCAGGTTGACATTTTCTGCTGAACAAAGCAGGCAAATCTGCGCCACTGATCCAGGCCATCAAAAGATTGGTATGTGAGCAGAACTGCAGTGGCTTCAACCCGATAGCCAGCCTCACTCGCGCACGGTCTGCCTCTAGCATCTCTTTGACCCAAGGCGCTTTCCCACTCGGCCTTTGCTGCGCGCAACGGCTGAAGGTCCTGACCGTCACGGGATCTTGCAGCTTTGCGCAAGACCTTACTGCAGGCTTCGCGTAGGGCTTGTGGGTCAGAGTCTCGGTTGACGCCGGGTGCCACTTGGAGCAAGGCGGCTGCTGCCAAGAGGGCAGAGACAAAAGCGCGTTGGCATACTTGGAGGTGTGAAACCATGAGGAAGCACGAGACTAACACCGGACCGACCTATCCTAGCACGAACTTGAGCGTAGAACAGGCCATGTTTTCAGTTTAACAAGACCAGCTGGATGCTTTCAAAGATGTGGCGGTGGACATCAGAAGGACAAAAGTTTATGCCTCTTGATGGTTTCTGCAAAGCCGTGTGGATCTCCCGCGGATCGAATTTCCAACTCCTTTTCATGTGGCAGGAGTGGGACGGTCAATTATCACCCTCTTTTAAATTTTAAATACTTTAAAGGCTTTGGAGTGTGACAATTCGACCGCGAATGACCCAGCAACAACTTGCAGGATTCTAGGGGGAAAGGGTTGCTTTTTGTAGGAAGGCCCAAGAGGCACAACTTTTGTCCTGGTGGTGTATGCTTGTGCAAAGCATCACTCCGATCTTGGAAAACAGTCATCGCGCCCAATTGATGTCAAACAACGCAAAGACCCATTTCAGTCCCACGTGGCCACGTCACGTGATGCGAAAGCTGATCCTAGGGACGCGAAGAAGATTCAAGACATTGTGGATGGGGGGTTTAGAGTTGAGGGTCTGTCCTTTGATGTCTCCAAATCGCCCCCTTTGACCCTTTTGCCAACCTATGGTGTTTTCGTCAAACCTACAAAAGGTGCAGGGAAGGGCAACCAGACACAGAGACGGTCAGAGATCCCCCGCTGCCTGGCCTTTGCCTTTCTTCTATTTGGGTTTTGGTTTGATGTGGTATCCGAATTTTAGCCACAAGTTAAAGACTTTTAGCAGGGGATCTGAGGACATCCCAGTTCAGGGTTTCCGGGTCATTTCGATTTGTGGGATCCACCACCAGTAAATTTCAACCTTAGTCAACCTTCGCCCCAAAATCGAGAAGCCCCGGTTCTTAGTCAAACCAGGGTTCTAAATTATTTAATCGCATTAAGCCGTGATTTTTCCAGTTTCTCGCCGCAAGGAAAGCCGACATGAGATGCGTAATTTATGTTTTTGCCAGGCCAGACCTCCTTTACTTGACATTCAGGATGACAAGTCCATAGATTGTTGTGCTGAGGACCTGAATGGCGATGCAGCTGAGAGTGAGGAAATGGAAGTTTTCGCCGCATAAGACTTTGGCACGCTTTCACCAACGCCCGTGGTACCAAAGTTATCCACGGCCCTTCCGCTGGAGACGTGTATTTCTTATATCAGTCTTGCGTTCTGGCAAATCGACATGGAGCCCATCCCTTTCCCAAAAGGAGCTTCCTCTAAAAATCGGACTATCTGGTTGAAATGTTGGGCTCCATGTCAATCTGCGGCCTTGCGCGACAGCTCATTACCGCCATGTGCTGGGAGCAAAGACTGCTGGTCGTGGCTGCTGCCTGAGCTCACTTCGCCGCATCAACTAGAGAAAGTCCCTTGTATTTCTGTTTGTTGGTTTTAGACAGTTGCGGCAAACAAAAGTACCCAACATGACCCAACATGACCCCTTGAAAAATGGAAAGCAAAGACCAACACCTGCGTAACCCTAGTTTTTTAATTAATTTGAGCCACATCCACATCACCTTTGGGGCCATTCGAAAATGGGTTTCCTTTTGGGGTGAGGTTTGATAATATCGGGAACCTCCGATGCAGGGCGCACATTGCGGCCGGATGGAAAGCAACTGGTACACCACGGGAGCCCTAAACCTGCCTGCCACTTTCGACGTGGCTACAGAATTGTCACAAGGGACACCCTTCAAACATAGCAAACCCCACATAGAGGGATGTCTAGCGAGAGGATGCCCATTAGGTCGCCAACTAAAGTTCACACCCACATGGCTGTGGTTTGTCTTGGCGCAAAGTGCAAGCTGCGCGCAAGCTGCGCATTTTGGGGTTTCCATGGGTTTCCCTCCTTCAGAGAGACAAACACCCATTTGGCTTACCGTGCGAACCTTTGTAGGGACCCAGAGGTGCGCTTGGCGGGATTTCGCCATGTCAAAAAGCAGTGGCTGAAGCCTAAAACCTCCCGGCAGTCAATTCTTCCCCTTTTTCTACCGGCTTGGTCAGGGGTTGCAACTGGTTGACGCCTTTGCTTTGACACACAGGTTCCCGGAGCATGGGACGTTGCCAACCGCTTGTTTTTTCTGGTAGACATGGCTCGAGCCAAGCGTCTGGCCCAGACGCCATGGCTTCAAAGGAGGCCGAGCTCTGGGAGCAGCAGCGGTGCTGGATTCAAGAGACCCTGGACCGGAAGTTTCGAGAGCAGGAGAAGGCGAGATCCCTTGGGATAAATATAGATATATAGGTTTAAAAAAAAACGAGCTGCACTTAAAAACGACGCGCGGCAGACTTCCGGAGCTTCTTTTTTTTTTTTTTTTTCCGGATGCGCTCGGGAAATGTCGGGTTTCGCCAAAGAGAAAAGATCGCTTAAAGATGTTGTGGGCGAAGTATAGCACCTTGAGATATGGATTTGGGCGAACAGAAGGGAAGGGAGTTCCCCTCCGTTTTAGCACGCACAGACCAGTGATGGTTGGATGGGTTGAAGGAGGCTTTCAGGCGCCGGAGCCTTATCAGGGTTGCTATAGATCCTGGGGGCAAAGGCAGAAGAAGCGGATGTCGATTCACCACATTGAGCCACAAAACCCGTTCACAGTTGGCGTCAAAATGAAAGGGCCCCTATCCCCTTGCATGATTTTAGAGCTTCCAATGTTTCTAAGATTTAGCACAGTTGCAACCATGGACTTTTTGTTAGCCGTGTTACGGCTGCTTTCTGTGGAAAAAACAACAAGTGTCTGTGGTTTAAAAGTCAGAAACTGAGTGGTTTCCTTTTACCTCACCGCTTAGGTGACTTTGATAGTGGTAAGCTAGTTTGGCCAGTGCCATGGTCAAAGAGCCCCTAAGTTTGAAAGGATCGTCGCCGCTCGATGGCTGGGAAAGCCAAGTGAGGTTCCGATAGGATCTAGCAAGGGCTAATATAATCGCCGCTTTTGCGAAGCAGGAGCGCTAAGCTTTTTGATTGGGGGAGTTCATGGGAGGGGGCAAAAAACAAAGAAGCAAAAAGTGATCAAAGAAGGCACCTTTTTACCACTGGACGTTGACATTTTGGGCTTACGCTTGAGACGTTTGGGCATCCAAAAGGCTGTCAGCTTCCACGAGGGTCAAGGCTGTCGAGGTTCCCATAGGAGCCATGGCCATTTGACTTGGTTCCCAGTCCGGTAAGCCTTAGCTTTTTTACTTGCTTTTGGTTGGTGGTTCCCAGGCGTCCGTGTTGGTGGTAGTTTCCATTTGGCACAAGTTAGTCAGGTTCCTTAGTTTTTTCAGGCGTCCGGTTGAGTGGTAGTTTGCATGCAAACTACCACCCGCGGACGTGAAAGCGGAGAGCCCAGAGGTCTTCCTTGAGCTCGTGAACAAGTTGGTCCAGGAGGAGGACATTGAGGAGGTGCACAGCGCATCCTTCACCACCTTGGCTGAGTGGCAGGCCCCTGGACTTCGATTCAATAGACTTAGCCGTTGAATCGGAGGTCAACCAAACACGCCGGGCGCCGGGATAGAGGAGTTTTGAAGATGGGGACGAAATCTAATTCTCATTTTGGGACTAAGGGAAAATTTAGGTACTTTTTTTTGTCTGGGAACTAATTTTGGGGACGAAGTCTAAGCTAAATCTAATTTCCGTTACAGGAAAATCACACAGAGTTCGTTTCAGAAAGCTGGTGACATGTGAAGGGCTAGCCCTGGCCCGGCCTTGATTCGCTGGGATGCGCTGGGCTTCCTCATGTTTTGAGTTGTTCAGTGGCTCCTGGTTGCAAAGTTCTATTGGTGGGTTTCACCAAGAATGTCAACCCCCAACAGAGTTTATTTTTTTTGTTTTCGCAGGGTCGCTAGGCTGAATGGCTGTGGGACCTGATTGGAAACATGTACGGCAAAGCCATCTGAAAGTGTGCCCGTGTTTCCGGCATCCTCTCCGAGGTATCAGGGGATCCTAAACGCGCTGCAAAGAATGGGTAACAAAGCATCGCGGAAGCCGTTGACAGAACCCATTTAGGATCACCCAACGTATGCCAAACTTGTCCAAAGATGGTTTGGGCGAAAGGAGCACCATAGGTGTCCAATTTTTGGTTGGATTTTGCTTAACAAATCGAGGGCGATTCCTGGTTTGGATGGGGTGCATGCCCCATTTCCCAGGGCCAGACCCTGTCAGGTGCAAAAGCCCCCGTCGATTCAGCCAAAAGATGCGGCCCCGAAGAAGCCCTTGCCGCGCGGCGCCACCGGCCTTGCAGCCCGGCTTTCACGGTTTCCGGTCGTCCGGAAAGGGTCAAGTTGCATGTCCGAATCTTGGTTGTTGTTGGGAAACATGTTACATTTTTTCTTATTGTGGTTTAGTGGTTGTAATCCAACCACTTAACTGCTAAAGTTTAACTGCTTGCTCCCCTCCCAACGTCAACCAAGGAATCATGGGTGTCCTTGGGCTGTTTGCGTTGTTTGAGCATAGATGGCGCTGGCTTTCCTTTGGTTTTAATCACATGCCCGTGCCATGTATTTTTCCAAAGGACACCTATGGTCCGGATCCTTTTGTCAAAGCTCACCTTTCGTCTCAAAGAGTTCTTTCGCGGTGAGCAATCTCAAATCGAAACATGACTCGTTGGCGGGGATGGGGGGGAGGGGGATGGGGCCACGTGGTACCCGTTGTTGGGAGTCCGGATTGGTCCATAGGTTTTTATGTGGAAGGTGCATTTGTTGTTTGCTTTATTTGACCTAATTGGGGTGTGTCTTTGTTTAGGGGAACCCCCCCCAAGAAAAGATAATGATAATAAATCTGGCTGGTTTGATTTTGGCTTCCCATTAAAACCAAAAAGGGGTACGCTCAACAACAACAAACACATTCGAAGGTGATTCGCTTGTGTGTTTATGACTTGAGGGTTTTTTCTACGTGCTCGAGCAACGGCGGACCCCTGGTGACGTGCGAAAGGGGCATCAGCCATCATCTTCCCGGAGGGTTGTGAGAACATGCCCAGTGTTGCCGGGTGTTGGGACTCGAAGGGTCCCTCCCTTTGTGAGTGGATGGCATGCATCCCTCATATGGTATATGGCCTTGCGCATCCCGTACCGGCCCATGTTATGCCCCCGCACGTAGGGTTGCTCCATTTGGCTTACGCCCTCACGAGGCCAAGTCGCTCATGAGCGAGATATCGCATCCTGAGCCCCCAGTCATTGCCTTCGTCAAGGGGCCCTTGGACGTCTACATGGGCATCGTCGTTTGCATCCACCTGGCCTTCATGACTTTCAGTCGCAAGTTTCACGCGCTAAACTGCGCCATACTACTTGATTTTGGATTCGTGGAGGAATCGAAAGGGGATGGTTTGTTCCAGACCCCCTATTCAGCACCAAGTTAGTTTCCGCCTCAGTTTGGTGTCTCTGCGGTCTTCCCTTGTTTGTTGGGTTTCCCGTGCTGAGTTATTCTCGCTGTTCCTGAGGGTTCATTCTTGGCAACGTTATTCTGTGGACCTCTAAGGGGCTATGGGGAGTTCGGAGCTCTCACCCAGTAGCTTACCCAGGGACAGCCCCCTTTAGAGCTCCGTGAGCATTCGTCATGGCTTCCGCCCTCGGACTGTTTCTGAGGATTGCCATGGCACAGCTGACAGGGGACACCTTGGACAATGACCTGGGCATCACGAGTGAGGCTCCCACCTGGTCCCCCGAGATTTTCGACATCGTTGAAGTCGTCTTCTTCTGCGTCCCAGTTGCAACAGCTGCAACCAGGGTTCTGCACTTTGCTTTTCCTTCCCTTCAACTCAAAAAGCTGTGCAACTCAGCCACCCTCTTTTGAGAGTGTCCCCACGGTTCAGCACAAGGTATCTATGTGGTTGACGTGCTGGTCCGGGTGGTGATCTTGAGAACCGAGTGGGCCTATGACCATTTCGAAGGCCTGATGTTCATGAACCTCTTCGATGCGATCTTGGTCCTCGTCAGTGCCGCTGAGCTCTTCATCCTCCCCGTGTAGCCCAGCTGTAGGGCGAAGGAAAGATTTTATATATTTTAGACGGCCCAACGGGAAACCGAACAAAGATGGGCCATGGCCTTCTGATTCCAAGTGTAGTAGAACAGTTCCGAACATAAATGAGCTGTGGATATCCGCCCTTGAGTTTTGTTGTGGTTTTAGTTGGGCTCATGTGGTAGCCGCGTATTTCTTTTTTACATGTGTTTGCTTGCCTGGCTTGGCCGCATTTGCCGGGTTCGGGCAGCCGCAGGCTCTCCGACGGCAGAGAGGGCACGAGCAGAAGCATCAGAGTCTTCACTGGTGGCATGAGTTTCTTGTTTTTGTGTTTGCGCGTTTGTGCTTTTTGGGTTCCGTCCGCATGAGAGCAACAGTTGCAAGCGCTGGTTGCCTTCCAGCTTTGTCTTGTTCATGTCCACTGTTTGTTATGGAGAAAGGGTCTAGTTAGTCTAGTTTTATAGTTTCTTGCGACTGGTCCCTTTCAGTCCCTTGGAGATTCGAGTTGCGGGGTTTGGACCTGAGCTTGTTGTAGAACATGGGAAATCACCTTCGAACCTTGAACCCAAATCGGTGAGTTGCTACCGAAAAGGAGTCATCAAGCTGATCCGCATCACACGAACCCTGCGGGTGGTGAAGACAGCTGCTCGGCATGTTTGTAGGGAGCGCTGCTGATGGGCAGAATCCACTTCGCAGCAGTTCGTTTCGTCGGGTACTATCCATCCCAGCTGGTGCGGCAGTTTGTCCATCCAAAGTGAGGGCCTGTTTTTTTCTCACATTTTGTCGCGGGTTGATTTTGGCGAGGAAGCCTGAAGGACATCATGCATTTGGAGGGTCCGATGAAGACAACATACGAGTTGTGGCAGGGTTCCCGATGGCGTATTTGACGTCTGGACGGACGGGTAATTGAAATCCCGTTTGTTCGAAGCTTTGTATTAAGAATGAAAGAACAAAACACCTTGGACTGCTCATCTCGAACCCTGAAAGTGTCCAAGAGCCCAACATAACGCACCTCTAAGGTTCTGAGAGCTCGCCAGTTTTGCTTGCACACAACCCCCGGTTACAGAGTTAGCTCAGCCACCGGAGCCATGCAGTTTCATGTGGGATGATGAGCATGGCCTGCAAATGTCATGATCTCACTTCCCCAGTGTCTTCTTTTGTTTATTCTGATTTGACTAACGCTCTGTCCCCCCCCCCCTCCCCACCAAAAAACAATTACGAACACCGCCTGGTTGAGCGGTCTATCCAGGCCGAAGTGCTGTTTCTCTCTTGTGGTCTCACAGGGCCTGTCACTCCATGAGGGGCAAGTGTGGATCAAAAGTGTTTCTTTGTTCCCGGTACCGGCCTAGCAGTTCTCTCGCCGGAGTTCTTGTGCGCGAAAGTAAAATGGATGAGGTTTCCAATTTTTAAGATTCTTTTGATATCTTATGTTGTCCAGCTTGACTGCCTCACTCACAGTTCAATGGAGAAGTGGGGATCCCAGACCGGTTGACTAGTGCTATTGCCTTCTTTAACCTTGATTGGCATTGGTTCGGATCTTGAGACTTTGACTTGCTGGGGAAATCAAGAGGTTTTCCATTGAGCCCACAAAAGGTTAAACTTGTCCCAGAATAATCTCACCACCAAGTTGGGCTCCAGGTCGGCCAGTTTGGAGGGCCCCTTTTCGGGGCAATCGCTTCAAACTCAGGATCCGCACCTCGCTGTGAAGCAAAGCACCACCCAAAACCCTGAAACCTCCCATCCAAAACCTCCAAAGCCCCCAATGTCCCTGAACAACCACCCAACACTGTTAAAGATCCTGTCCAAAGACCTCGAAACCTCCGTAAGATCCCTTGTGAGATCCCTAAAGCCCTCCAAAGAAAGCCATTCAACTTGCAAGCCTTTGAATCCAGGTGGGTATCTTCCGGCAGCTTCGTGTCTTGGTTCGGAGCTGCGTGGCCTCCGTTGGGGCCTTGGGCTGCCTGGCTGCGATCCCTTTCTTCCTTTTCATGGCCCAAGCATAGGATCTCGGGGTCCAGAGGACCCTTGGCCATTCAAGGGTCGAGGGCCTTATTTTAGGCCCCGAGGTCCTGTAGCAGAATAGCAGGGGCCAACTGGGTTGGACCTTTGTCAGGTTCCATGTTGGGCTTTGGGAGGGTTGCTTCCCACCAACCCACCAGACCTCCCGCAAAAGGGGAAGACAAGTCTGCACGTCCCCCGCCGCCCCAGTTTTCCAACCGACCCGCTGACACAAAAAGCTGACTTATGTTTTACGGGGTTGTTGCCACCCACAAATGTGTGTGTGTGTGTGTGTGTATTTTTATATATACTGTAGACTTTCTCACCACCCTAGGCAGTGACACCGTGATAGATGACATTTTTGTCCATGGCTTAGACCCAGGGAGTGCCTGCCATCAACGGTGTGAACTGGCCATTTCCGTGTTTTTGAAAATTGCTCACTTTTTGAGTTCCTGGACCTTAAACGATGCTTTTTGGGAAGACCGTTTAGTTACTTTTCTTTGCCCATCCGCTCGTTCGGAAGTGACTAGGGAAACGTCGTGTTGTTTGTGTGTGTTTGTTTGTTTGCTTGCTTGCTTGTTTGTTTGTTTCTTTGTTTGTTTGTTTGTTGTTTGTTCGTTTGTTTGTTCGTTTGTTTGTTTGCTTGGTTGTTTGTGTTTTGTTGGGGGGGGGGGGGCGGGTAGAGGAACTTTTTTTGGCGCCAAGTTGCAAGGCTGGTCCATGGTGCTGCTGCTGCTGCTGAAGCTGGGCTTTGCGCTGGCCATCTGCCAGGCGCTCCAAGGCTCCCGAAAACCGGTCGCTCGCTCGGTTGTCGCGGGTCGGATTGGGGAGATTCGGGGAGATTGGCGTGGGATCACCCTTGTGAGGGCTCTTAAAAATGGAATTCGGGCCCTTAGAGATGTGCATTTATGGTCCAATTCTGATTGTGACCCTGTTGATTCCATGTATGGTTCGGCTTTCTCCCTACATGCAATTGGGGACCCCCTTATCCCCATTTGAGGTAGGGCGGATTCGGAGGACTTGCTCAAGACGGATCAACAATTGTTAGTTTGCGGGTTTTCTTCTCATAGGGGAATAGCCGAATTCGGAACCAAATCCTCGCAATCAGATTGTTTGTGGATGTACGCTTCGACCGGAACCCTGTCGAGCCTCAACAAACATGTGTTTGCGTGCTCCTGAACCTTGGGGCCATATGGAAATGCACATTTACTGGCGCTGGCTAACTCGGGTGGTCCGGGGTTGCCCTCAGGTACGGTTCGGGTTCCACTAGGGTTCCTCAAAGGTTCCACGACATTCTACGGGGCTGCGGGGTGGTGCGAGCAATAAAAAGAGCACCGCATGCTGTCGGGGATAGCGCCTGAGCTTATTTGGTTAGAAATAGATGGCGCTTGTTTAGAATGGTTTCATTCTATTTTCCGGGGCCATCTATTTGTGCAAAGACACCTATGCTCCTTGTGTTTTCAATTCGTCTGTTCCTTGTCTTGATTCTCGATGATTCCATGGAGACCCTGCGTTGGCGGACTTGCCCCAATCATCAAGCGCGTCGGGTTGTTTGTTGAGCTACCCGGGCCAGGACGGATGTTGGATGGATAGTATGGTTTGGCATGGCATGGATGGTTGGGTGCGTGCGTGCTGGCGCGCACGTCACCAGCGACTTGGGGAAGGCTGGCCCCAAACGCGGGCAATGCAAGGGATGCAGGCGATGCGCGAAGAAAAAGGGGCTTCGCGTCGGCAATGCTGGCAATGCGGCCGGCTTGCTGCAGACTTGCAGTGTTTTGAGCCCTCCCCCAACTCGAGCTCCAATGGCCGCACGGGCGGTGATAATGCACCAAAGGCGCTGGACATGCAGAGGTCGGCGGTAGCAGCCGTCAGCCGGAAGGCAAAGAGTAACCAGGCCTCCGTCTGCTGCCGCCGACCGGTGTTTGTTGAAAGGGAATTTCGTGTGTCTCCTAGGAAAATCTTCATCACAACATCAAAACTCCTGGCACCGGTCCTGGTACGAGTCTGGGACCAGTCCGGTCTTGGGACCAGGTCCTGCAGTGAAAGTTTAAATTGATCGATTTGGTGTTATTTGAAGGTTTGTGGAAAAGCTTGTGGGCATCTCATATTGAACCCCGTAGAAAGGAGCATTCGCCAAACAGGTACTTGCCGGATTCCTGACTACCTTTGCTACTTGGCCACAGGTCTGGCTTTTGTAAAAACATCTAGGCCCCGCGCGGTTAATTGCTCACCCGGAATATCGAGCTTACCGCTGATAGCGCGAACGTGCATAAAAAGTGGCTTGTGAAGATTTATCCTCTCCTGGATGGCATTGTGAAATCGCAGGCTACATCGCCGACCAGAGTGCTGACCTGGAAACTAGACTGGAGATGAACCGTTTCTATGGCAGCTTCGTCAAGGCCTTGTACACGATGCGCCTGCCTTAACTCATGCCTTTTTGCACATGCAACGTTGAACGCTTCCATGTCCTGAGCCTGAATGTTGTGTTGCCGCTTGGAACCCAGTGGCATCCTCCTTCAAAACTGGCCGCACTTGCAGTTTAACAGCTAGTTCCATCATTCTCGTGGGGCCACCCCATACTTTCCAAGGAATTGTGATAGCTACATCTTTCAGGTGTACGCCTTGCTGGGGTTGGTCGGCTTTTGGGGGCTGGAATTTGAATGCGGAAGCGCCTTGGATGTGAGGTTCGAGGTGACACACAGCGGCAGCTGGCCTTTGCGCGTGCGGCCTGTGGTGGAGAAGGTGAGTCCGTGGTATGCACTCCTCTTCTTGAGCTATATCACTCTGGTGGTGTTCGCAGTGATTCGTGCCTTTGTTTAACATTTGTCGGTCTGTTTTGTTTGGTAAATGGAGAGGTCAGCGCACATCCGGGCGAAAGGAAGATGAGCAGTGAGTGAACTCCAGGCAATTGCCAAGGCTGACGTTTTATTTTGGATATGGTGATATGGCACATGATTTTCCACAGATTCCGAAGGGAGATGTTTGTGCGGTCTGGCTGTATGCTCAGTATGATCCCTTTGGTACTGCGCTGCCCGACGACCTGCCGAGCGAATCCGCCGTTCCAAAAAACGGATGCGCCCGTCGACGATGCATTTGTTGGCGTTCGGCTCACCTTTTGTAGGGGACTCATGCCGCAAACGTGGCGTGGCTACGACAGCGACCAGGTCGTGTTTTGTTTGAGACACTCCCCCTGAAATTGAAATGAAAGCAGCAACGCTTGCACATAGCTTGTTCAAGGCCCCGCCATGTGTCTGGGTTCTAGTCTTTGGAAAAGGCCTTTGCAATTTGGCAAGCAGGTTTTGTCAGGGCCCCGCATTTGCGCACGGCATAGCTGGCAGGCCACCAAGAGGTGGTGCATGAGGCGTTCTAGGGAAATTCCACTTGGCGAACTGCGTATGTTCACAAGGCGGCGAGGGTTGTGATAGTTAGATAAAATGTGTTCGCCAGCCTGAATGTTCGCAATTGAAAGGTAGTATGGCCCTCTTAATGGGATAAACGGATGATGTACCAACTTTCGAATCGGTAAGCAACCTGGGGGAAACCCGGGACTTGCTTCAATCTAGGGTTCAACCCCCATCGGCAAGAACTCAATTTGGATAATGACAATCCTGAAAGGTAAACAATGGTGGTTATATGAACCCAACCATTGTTTTGATGGTGGTTTGAACTTTGCTTCACTGTTCTTGGCAAGTTGTTTTCTTTTTTCTTTTTTTTTTCGGATCTGTTTTTGTTCTAAGTACGGTACTGCAAAGAGCAAAGTGTGTTGCTACCATAGAAAGGGTATTCAGGTTCATGCATCCCAGGTATCGTGACCGCGCTGTTCCTGAAAGAGACCTTGGCAAGCGCCGCCAACGACGCGGACATTGCTATAGAGGGCCAGGGCCGGGAGGCGAAGAGCTTCCAGCGGAAGCTGGAGGATCGCCCGCGGGTTTTGGGTTCGCGGAATGGATAGTTGTTTTTTGTTTTTTTGTTTTTTTCGCATCACCGGACACGGGAACCAATTCATGGGGGTTCCAAGTCATTTTTTTGACAACGAAAAATAGCGGACGAACTCTCACACAAGCTTGTGTGTGTGGGGGGGGGGGCATCGGACGTTTGCGTTGGGACCTTTCGCTGGGTTGCCAGCTGGTAGGGGCTTGCGTTGGTGCAGCGGCGCCCCCCCGACGCCCCCCCCTCCACCTGCAGGGGGGTTTGCCTATGTCCCCCCGGGCAACCACAAAAAAGGCTGCTTCAATAACAATTGCTTAGCGTGTCTAAGCTCTCTACAGATCCTGAAGAGAGAGCTTGTAGAGGATCGTTCTAGGGATCCTGCGCACTGATCTTGCTAAGAGATCCTACCCAGAGATCTTGCGCAGAGATCATGCAAAAGGTCCTTCCAGCAATTGCGAAGGCATCATTCGCACGAAACGCAGCCCTGCAACAGCACCCTGCAACAGCATCGTGCTCCTGGCTCCTCACGGGGCCTGCAGGCGCACTAAGCAAATTCACCAAAGCTCCGCCCAAAACTCTTGCCGTTGCAAGGACCTGCACTCACCAGCCGCAACCCGCGACTTCTGAGTCGCAGCACTGACTCGTAGCCTTGCGCTGAGCCGCTGGGTCGCAGTCTGCAACAGCGCCATGCAGAGTTTCCATAAGTCTCTGCTTGCGGCAGTACCTTTCAAAGCAGCCGGGTCTCGGCCTGACGCAGCATCCACAACAGCCCCCTGCAGCCGCACCCAACAATAGCACCCTGCACGACTATGAATCTTTGCCTGCAGCAACACCCAGAGATCGTGCCGAAGACTTCCTTCAAAACTTTTATTTTCTCACAGAAGACGAGTATCACGCGGAACTTCTTTCAACTCTGAGAGGCTCTGGCCAAAGAGAATGCGCAAAACCTTCCCTAGATATTTCGCGATCCTCTTAGCAAAATCGGAGCAGAATGTTACTTTCATGCTACCTGCGTGGGATCCTGTCTCACAATAAATTCTAACCATTTTTTGTTTACCATTGTTTGGGTTGCTTGGATATCTTATTGCACATATGTTTGTCGAAGACTGGGCCTCAGGTCTTTTCCCGCCTGTGGTGGGCAGTGTGAACTCGGATGACAAGAGGGGGAGGTAATTACTTAACGGATCGCTTGCTGGATTGAAACAGCTAGGGACCCCAAAAAAGGGTTTGCTTGAACAAGGAGACCCTTTGGATCTGTCAAAGAAGTTAGTGTAGAAGTCGTTCTTTGCTTCAGCTTTAAGACTGGTCGTGGATTGCAAGGCTCCCACATGTGTTTGCCTGACAAAGCCAGTGGCTAGGGCTGGTTGCGGTGCTTGGGGTGTCCCTAGGGTCAAGGGTTGGAGGGATCTTGTTGAAGTCAGTGAGCGTTGATTTAAGCGGAGTTGTCGTGCCTCAATGTGATGCTTGAGGACCAACGTTTGCTTGATTAGCCCACGTTCCATGGCAATGTGGCCGGGTAAGCCCTACCCTGAGGAGCTCTTCCGGGCTGCAGATGAAGATGGAAACGGGGCCTTGTCCGCGGACGAGCTCCTTGCTCAGGGCTTTCTTTGTTTGCTCCACTTGAGCGGGTGTGCGGGTTTTTGAGGATACCCTTTCTTTAGGTTGACTTGAAGGGATGCCAAAGGGAACACGCCAATGTCGGGGTCTCACCATCTGGCCAGGAAATTTGACAGCTACTTGCTACAAGTGGCAGCTGGCTTTAGCTCACAGCGCGAAGGATTTCTGTTGGGGATTTGGATCCCTCAATTCTGGCTGATGAGCTGTGCAATTGGACCCCAGCGAAGGGTGAAACAAACTCACCCATCATCAAGCTTCCTAACTTGGCTGCGCAGCAACATGCGCAGGACCTTTGCGCATGCTGTTTTGCTTGGTGTTTTGTAAACTGAGCTTGTTGTCCACAGGTTCCTCGAGGCCATGAACCTCCCCAGCGTGCAGCAGCTCAGACGCAAAACTGAGGCGACGGACTGCGTTTGCGGTGCCACGGGTGTGGCCGTTTTGGATAGCCTGCCTGAGGTTGGTTCAAGGGGAAACAATATATTGAAACACCCGTTCCTCTGGTTCAAGGCAGGCCGATGTTGGTTTTTGGGGTAATTGCTTGTAAAAGTTGGATCCCTTTCAAGGCTGGCTTTCCATTTTATGGTAGCTTAGCCAATCAACTAACAAGGGGTCGCATTGGGGCTTAATCAGAAGGTAGCAAATCAGCCTGTGACTGAGGCAGTACCTGAACTACTTGGACATCCGCGTCCAGGACATTGGGCCATTGTTTGACATCTTGGATGATGGTGATGGGCTGATCACCATTGCGGAGTTCAGTTGCTCAGTTGCAACTTGAGCTTGGCGCTCTTTAAGAGACATTGCTCTGCCCAGATTGTGTTTGCTTTGGAGACTAGGTGACGTGTGCCTGCATGCGTGCGCGCGCGCGCGTGCCCACGCACGCTCGCGAGTGTGGTGTGGGTGTGGGTCTAAGTATGTGTGTGTGTGTGGCGTTGTGTTGTGTTGTGTTTTGCTGTGCTTTGCCGTGTTACGCTGCACTGCGTTGTGTTGTTGTGTTGCGTTGTGTCGTGCGTCATATGTTTTGCCTTGATCTATATTTGCTTGCTGCTTTGGCGTGCCGTTTCGTTCCCCAGATAGCCGCAAGCTATGAGGGGTTCTTACTTCTAAAGAGGGGCAGGCTATTTTGCGAGTTCGGGCCCAGGTTGTCAGGGTGCTGTTATGGATGCTTGCTGAGGGTGCTTTCTGATGTGCTCAAGGTGCAGGTGGCAGCTGCTGGCAGTGCTTGTTTGGCGATGGCAGGATGCGTTGTGGGTTCTGATTAGGGTGCGGGTGAGGGTGCTGCTGTAATCTCCCAGGCTGTTTGTGGTCTGTGCCTGTGTGTGTGTTTTTCGCCTGGGTCTTGTTTTGTTGCTGCTTTGGTTTGCGTGTTGGTGCTCCCGTAGTGTGGTCCCAAGCAGTTTTTGTTTTTTCTGCTTTGGCTTCCACAAGGCAAGGGCCTCATGCAGATCAAGGGACAGGCGCGGGCGGAGGGTGGTGGAGAATGGTTGGCTTTGGGGTGTCCTGACCATTGTGGGAGATGGCGTGTTCAGCCCACTGTGCCAAAGGAACCCCCTTCAAGGTCACAACAACGGTCCATTTTGGTACAGAGAAAGTTATGTTTCCCTCAACCACCATGGTTTTCACCCTTGTTTCTGGACGAAGTACTTTACTTGGTAGGAAGGCCATATTAATATTTTGGTGGGAAACAGCAGTTCAGCCAACCTACTCAGGAAGTGAGTGCCACTGGCAACACCTTCCAAGTGACATTCAGTGACTCAACTACTTGAGCGTCACGGAAAGTGTTATTTGCTAGGACCACAAACCTGTGACCATTTGTGGGCCTACCCTAAAAGAGTGGCAACCAGTTGCTTGCAGCAATATTAGCCTTGCGCAACGATTCCGGCGTTTTCGGCTTTGGGGGGGGGGGCCTTGAGCCCGCAGGATTGTATTGGCGCACAATGTGTCATTGTTTCGCGGGCTGGTATGTGCTTGTTTGCTTTGAGGGTACCATCCTGCCAGCCGTGCGCGGGTCAGCTCGGTATCAATGTGACTCAAGCCGCAGTCCATGCAGGACGCATATGGCCAAACGGCTGACCAGGCTAAAAATGTGGGCAATTCCATTCGTGCAGTTGGTACATAAACTGCTGCGGGCAGCCGCATGCAGGGCACGCACGCCGTCCCGGGATGTTCTTCAATATCACGCGGTTCAATCTCAAGGGTCCCAACAACACCTTGGCCGACAGAGAGGATTAGGATCTGAATGTAATAAGGGTTCTCGGAAATATGTGTTTAAGGCTCAACATGGTGATTCCACTCCACCGCCAATGAGTCGGACTGACTGTTTTCCTTTGAGCAAACTGCGGCGTAGTTGGCACCCAGCATGTCTTCTCTGCTCCGCGCTTTCCATGTAGGAAGCGCACGGTCCAAAGGCAAACAGCTCTCTCCCCGGACATGTAGTTTGTTGTTGTTGTTTTTTTGTGGGGGGGGGGGAGGGCGGGGCGATGCCTGAATGCCTGAGAAATCCTGAGAAATCTCATCGGCATTCCGGAAGTTCAGTTGAAGAAAGAAAGCGTCAAGGAAGCCTTAGGCCCGGGCCCTGGACATGGTGGTCCTCCACCACGAGAATGCCAAGCTCCTCAAGGAAGTTCAGGCCGGGACACCGGGGGCCATGGTCCCCATGGTTTCCAGGGCGGACAGAGGAGAGGTCAAGTGGCTCGGGTTTTGGCTCTCGCGGGTGACATTCAGTGCTTGAAACACCCCACCTGTTCGATGCGACTCGAGAAAGCATGTGATATCATGGCCTTCTTGTCCTTGGCTCAAAATAGTTCCTGTGCTAGATGCCAGCCAGCATGAGGTTGTGTCCTTGCCTCGAGTTACTAGATACTCATAGTCCCCAAGGCACTGGCTCCAAAGTATGTGACTCTGGCGTGTTTGTGAGGCCGTTCGTCGCGAAGTGAGCGGCCGGAAGCCGCAAGCTCGGTTCACTTGCATCCAGACCACAATTTGAGTTGGTCCATGGCTGACCTCAGCGCATGGCATTGCTCGGATTTCCGGTCCGGAAGACAATGAGATGCTCCGGCTAAGAAAGCTTTGGTGATTTTTGCTTGGAAGTTATGACTTAAACTTGTTGCCAACTATTGGGTTTTCCGTTAAACTACTAAAAGTTAAACTTGTAGCAGGGGAGCAGAAAGCAACCGAGAAATCCTCGCTCTTTTTGAAGCCGGAGAAACGCCTGGCCCCCGAAGGACTCCTTTCCTTTTCAGACCGAGCATTGGACCCCTTTGGTCGCCCAAGCTCCAATGGTTCTCGAGGTCGTTTCCTGGGAAAAAAATGCCCCTCCGAAGTCGAATCGTTGATGCCTCTTGCGTCACTCGCAAAAAAAAACACGGCCCAGCCTGTCCTTGCAAATCACATCGCCTCTGGCCAAGCCAGGGAACAAGTGGGAACTGCACAGTCCAAAAAAAGCAAAATGCGGCCCGCCGCGGCGAGAGCGGTGTTCGAAAGCGGTGAGCCCCGCCTGCCGAAAGAGTTGGTGGCTTTCCCTGAGCTACCCTCTCTGCCACGCTGCTCAAGTCCCTTGATCTTTCAGGTGTCGTGTGGGGGTCAGTTTTTCTGAGCATGTCTGGGCCTTAGGAGTTCTTTGTCCAGGGCGGGTCGATCCACTTTCAGTTAAAAGATATGTTTCGTGCGTCAAAAGAGAGGGACCCCACAAATGGTGGTAACATTTTTTGAAATCAGCCCAAACGGGTACACGCACAGAAGCACACACCCATAGTGGAAGGCTGCACGCAGTGAAAGTTCATTCCTCAATCCAGGCCTTTCGTTGCCGCTTTGAGTACCGTTCAACGGTTTTCGTGGCGCAAGCGCTGCTTCCACAGCCCACTCAAAGGTCCAATTCTTTCATTGGCACGGCAGCCCGCTCCCCCTCCCCAAAAAGGCTTCTCTTGTTGCCCCAGCTGTAGGATGTTCCGGGGCCCGTTTTTGGCCGTGCCGGCTGTGTCTGCCAGTTTTGTAGCGTGAAGGCCCCGGGCGGAGCGTATTCTACGGCGATGTTGCCGAGTTCGTAAGTTCAGTTGCCTTATGGGCCCGGCCGGTGCATAAGGCTTGCTTTTTTTGAAAGGAGTGTGTTCGTTGGTTTTCTTCTTTCGATTCTCCTTTCTTCCTTTCCCATCCCTCTTTCTGTTGTGCGCCCGGGAGAAAGCTGGGCCCGCCAGGCAACCGGCGGCGCGAGCGAGCCGCTCCGTCGAGGTTGTTTAGATCTGCCCAGGCGGGACGAAGGAGCTGTGGTTCCTAAAAGTGCGCTCCCTCATGAGTGTTCCTTTCTACCTATTTCGGCCATAGATCAAAAGCCCAGTGATCATCCCAATCCCCGCTAAAATAGACTAAAATGTGTGGTGCACCTACCCCAAAATGCTACCATTGGTTTTGACCCACAGCCATTTCTCTTCCACCCAACGAGGAAATGCAGTTTTCCAGGTAAGCAGTGGAAGAATGGCATCCTTTTCCCACGCGTGTTGCCCAAAATCCAGCTTCAGTTTCCGGTTGAGCGAATCTAGGCTCTAGCCATCTCTAACTCCAGGATTTGCTTTGTGATTGAAAACTGTTAGCTTTGAACAGATACCCAGAGGGAGGAGCAGTGAGCCTTTTTGGCTTTAGGTCCTCCTCACGTCCAAGCCGACCTTTTGAGCTTTCGGCTCCCAGGTTTTGCTCATTTACAGGTTCCATACAGCTCAAGTTTTGTTTTTTTTTCCAGTGGGCCGTTTGGGGAAGTGAGAGGTCTTTGATTGCAAGTGAACATCAGCTGAGCCCTGACGATTTTGAAGCCGTCCGGCCCAAGCGAGCCGGCGCATCTTTGCCATGCCTCGGCCCGGCGATCAAAAACTGCTCACCGAGGAGCAACAATGGTTCGTGGCGCGCTCAGGTGAACAATTATTGTCCCACTCACTTCGACTTTAGAGCTGCACTTTTTCGTGGCCTGGACAAGAAGTTCGGACAAACACATCTCTCCCACGGGAAACAACCCTTTGCGGTTTTCAATCCGATCGAAGGGCAATTTACCAGAGCAAAAGATTGATTCCATGAGCCGTTTGAGATGTCCAACAAGCTAGAGGATATGCATGCTGGGACTTTTTGGAACCCACATGACAGAACCCATGTTTCGTGTTGGAAGGGGTCCCATTTGCTCGCGAGCTTTTGAGTCCAGAGAAGTGAGCGTAGACTTTGGGTAGGGCCTTTGGGTATGTTAGGTCTCCCAGTAGTGCCCTTTTACCCCTGTCTTGTTTTTTTTTTGGGGGCGGTTCCCCTACTAAAATAGACTACAGCAAAAAGGGTACCCTTAGTCTAGCCTCTCTACTGCAGGACCTAGTATGGCATTGATACAACAATGTGCGTGCACATCCCAGGACCCATTCAAGTTAAAACCCATCTAGGGTCACCCAAGTGCTTTCGCGTTAAAGTTTGCAGAATGGCCTCTAGGTGGCGTTCCAACGGCGGGACTTGAATAAACTTAAGAGGGGTTTGTGGGGTGGCCATGCTTGTATACTCGCTCAGTTCCAGGTGGCTAATGAACAACATTGCCCCTCCATTCTAGCTGCAGCCTCCTTGCAGGATGCTTTCCTTTGGCACCTTCAAGGCTAGGGACACTTTTGGACCCTAGGCGTAGCTGTACCCAGAAGTGTCTCGTGTCCTCAAGGGCCCAAGGACAGAGCTCAGCAAACGTGGGTTCAGAGCAACGGTCAATCTTTACCTCCACACGCTGTAGTCCATGACGCCGACCAGATTACTATGAACAATTTGGGGGTTACCGGGCCATTTTGCCAACAATCATGGACATGAAGCAACGTCCAATCCCTCGTGTCCACTACCATGATCGTGGTAAAGCTCCCACAATTGTTACCTTGTCCGGGGACATGAACGTTCACCGTTCAGGTGACTCTCCTGGATCGCAAGTTTGAGCAACAGGACGCTGATGAAACTGCTAGCTGAAAGGGCTTGACGGGCTTAGCCTAGGCAGGATCCCTCAAGGGATACAATTGAACGAGTTAGCAGATCACCTCAACCCAGCTGTTTTGTGAGGATCCCTGTGCCGCAGGTGGTTTTGGATGAACCCTGCCATAAGTGCCATGTTTAAGGTCAGTTTGGTTGAAGATGGATGCGGTTTCACTGGTTACATGTTGGGCCTAATCATGTACACCTTTGCCAAGAACCAGACCTCTCCCACCAAACCTGGTTTTCTAGGGGTAGCTTCCCCCTTCTTTCCAGGGATCCTTCTTTTCAGGAAACCATCAAAAAACCAAAATAAACACCCGGTTTTCGGACAGAGCGGTGGTTATTAAAAGACTTGGGAATCAACCCCTAGAGGTTCACGGTGTAAAGGCCCACTTAAGCCGTCTCATTTTGTCAAACGAGGCATTTCCATGATCCCACTTCCTGACATCCCGGAGACCATTGCTTCGGCGCATTTTGCCAAGGGATGTCAGGACTTCATCTTTTTGTCAGCCAATGGGTTTTCCCGAATTAAACCACCAGCTAAACTTTCAGCAGGGGAGCAAAAAGCAACCGAGATGTTAGTGGTAAAGAACAAGTTTGAGCTTTTTGTTTGGCCCATCCACTCTAGGAAGTGAGTGATTGTTGGTGGGAGGGTAGATGCCCCTGACATGCTCAAAGAGCCCTGAGGCTTTTTGGTTCATTGCAGCGGCATGTATTTTGGGCCCTTGCGCCCCTTCAACCCAGCGTTATACATCTTGCTGGCAGCCTCAAATCTTCATTGCTGTTGGCTTGGATTTGTAGACTTGGTTTTTTGGTAAATCAATAGTTTTCCATTGAACCCGCAAAGAGTTAAAAACTCGTTGCAGAGGAGTCAACAGCAACCAAGAATTCCGAGGAGTCAACAGCAACCAAGAATTCCCAAGTTGGGCGGCACAGCTTTTGCTGGAAGCCTCAAGTTTTCAGAAAGCCAAGATTTGCTCAGGGAAGCCAACGACACGCAGAGAAACAAAGAGCCGGGGCTAGCTTTGACAACCCAACACTTCCAAGCGCTGAAGCTGGCCTTTTGCGGTAAACACCTGGAGCCTTTGCAACAGGCTGATGCCCCAACAAGTCGGGCAGCTAATACCCTGCTCTCAAAGGAGATGAGTCCTGGCAAAACCTATGGGTCAAAACCAATGGTACCATTTGGGGGTAGGTGAATTCACCACCCTTTTCCCCGCTTATTTTAGCGGGGATTGGGATGTTCACTGCGATTTGGATTTTGACCCATGGCCACCTGGCAACTTGGTGCTTGCAGTTGGCGCGCAAAGTTGACGCATTCCTTCAGGAGGCGCTGCTGCGTGAGCTTCTGGGGTCTCGTCGCGACTGGGGCTGAAGAAGGAATTCGCAGGTTCCAGGTAGGAAGTAATCGGAACCCTGGATGAAGAAAGTCTGGCTGGTTAATCAGGGGTGTCCCCTTTTAGAGGGGGTTCATGCTTAATAGGACGGGGTTCTTCATCCGGGGTCAACATGTTTATTTGCCTGCATGGTGTAATTCCGTACAAATTCTCCAACCACGGTTGCAACTTTTCCGTTTCTGCCCAGCGCTTTTGTGCCGCTTTGGCTGTGGGATCCGAACTCCCTCTTTGAAGTAAATTGCTGGCCCGAGATTCTTCAGCCCTGAATGGTTCTTCCAGCCAGGCTTCGGTATCACATGACAATGCCTCGCTTTGCTAGAACACATTTGGGGCAGGCAAGGTCGGGCGCTTGCAAGCACGCCCTCTCCAAGTGCTTGTTTGTGTTTTTGAGGTTGTCCTTCAGGCACCATCCAAAAGGGATTTGAACTCTCTTGTATGTCGTTGTGGCGAATCTTGGGACCAAGATCCAAGATGAAGCCTTATGTATTGTTGGGCACCGCTCATGAGCTTGCGCCGGGGAAGGCTTTATGCCGTATAGGATTGTCAACGAATGCAGATACCAAAGGGAAGCAAAAGGGAGACCGTCCACTTCGACGATTGCCCTTGGAGACACACCCCGTGGCCGAGTGCTCAGTGCTCAGGCCGCATCCCGGTCACCTTCCAAAGCAAGTTGGTGTTGCCCCCGCATTTGTCCTCGTGGCGCCTAGAAGGGAGGGGGGTCCATTTCGCGAAGGAGACCCTTCAAGCAAACTGTGTGTCCGGCCAACTCAGGTGACCTACCGGAATTTCCCAGTAATGGTGGGCACTCCATTCCTGCCAAGCTTGAGGCGGATTCGGGACGGTGTTGGTTGCTGGATGCCTTTCCTGTTGAGTTGCCAAGCTTTACGCTGTTTGTAAATGAAGACATCATTTTAGCCGGGCTCCACGATAAGTTTTGTTTTGGCCAGTTAATAGACTCAGCCAGTCGAACTGTCCCATTTCCTGGTGACTTGCACAAAACGTCACGACCCTAGTCCAGGCAATCTACACAGCGATTTCAAGGGCATCAGCCTTGTGAGACGGGAGTTGTGGTGAGCATTGTGCGGGTAGCCTCCCACACAACACATGTCTTCCAAGAAGAATCCGTGCACTTCCATGCTGCATGCTTGCTGGTGGGAGGATATGACCGTGAATAGCTGGCTTTTGGCTTTTGTTTTCGTCAATAAAGATGTATACAAACACAACCTTTCAACATGGCCACCGTTCTTTCTGAACAGATGATTCCCGGGGATTCTGCACGGCGAAGCTTGCATTCTTGTACTGAGCAAGTGTTGTTGACAGGTAGCTATACGTCATGTACAGTATTCACCATGACATCATATGGCTCAAGAAAAAGTTAGCTGACCGCCTTGCTGCTTATAGGTAGGTCTGACCTATCAATAGGTTATCAGCCGTATCGCTGGCACCTTGTACAGTAATTACTCCTCACCCCGCGCTGCAATGCCGTCAGGCAGCGACGGATGCCATCCAGATATTGCAAAGCGACACGAAGCAGTGGCCATTGAGTTGATGAAGGGTGGCCATCCGGAAAGGAAGTCGCCTCGTAACCCGTCCCAACGTTCCAGGAGCAGCTTTCCAGAGTCGGACCCGGGCGATACGCTTGTGCCTATTTCGTCGGTCTGGATTGCGGAGGGGAACCTCATGCCGATGCTCGGAAATGTCGAACAGTAAGCAGAAGGAGGAGGCGGACAGGAACGTGGCCGAGATGAGAGACATCATCCCCAAACAGTCTAGTGACATGGAGGCACTTCGACGTGAACTGAAGACTTGGAATGCACAAAGCCCGACCGAAGTCCCTTTTTCCGGCCTGAGGCCAAAGGCCTCTCCTGTACAGCCGTCTCCTCCCCCTGGTCAGGTCTTGCTCTACGGAGCTCCGCCGTCCCAGGTGTTGCTGATGATCCTGATGAGGGAAGCTCAGATGAGGAAGTTGGCAGGTACGCGAGCCGGAAGGATTCAATACGGAGCTGATGTTTTAGAATTGTTTGTTCACGTCCGACGAGGCCTTTATGAGCGGGGATTGGGTCGGAAACTCGTTCATCATCTTTGCCTTTCACACCAAGCGGAATGAGTTCCTGATGCAGTTCGCGGTGATGGCGCGTTCCGCTTCACCCCCATGAAGACTACTCCCGTGATCCTCGGCAACAGTGGCCAGCACGTCCCCGAAGGCACGGCGGAGCATAGATCCGCAAGGGGCGCTGGTAAGAACATGATCCGCAAGGGACGCTGGTGACCGGGGGAACCCGAGATGCCGACGTACACATCTGTTCAGGACCAAGACCTATCCCGTCGAGGCAAATCCAGATCCACGGAGTGGCGAGCCACCACCCGCGACACCCGGCCCGAACCCTACCAGAAGGGGAGTACTCACTAGGGTTAAGTGATGTTAATATACAATTTCAACAAACATTCTTTTCATGCTGATTGCAACGGAGTGTATGTTCGCATGCCCGGCGGAAGCCGCGGCCGTGAGGCTGCCACCGCCGACAGGTATCAAGAATCAAGTTTAACAGGGTTTTCTCAACCCGGCCGGCAATTGCACAGTGTCACTCGTGGGAGCACGTGTGAAATTATGGTGCGGCAGTGAGAGATGCAATCAATCCCGCAGCGCATTTGCAACACCCACGGATGAACTCTATGATTGCTTTTGCCTCATCACCTGTCAACCCGAGGTCCTATGCCATCGAATCGCTTCGACCTCAGATTAGTTGCGCAGGACGTAGGGGGGAGGAAGACTGTACTATAGGATTTTTCCCTTTTCATAGCAACTCTCCTTCGCAAAGCGGGGGGTGTTGTTGACAGGTAGCTATACGTCATGTACAGTATTCACCATGACATCATATGGCTCAAGAGAAAGTTAGCTGACCGCCTTGCTGTTTATAGGTAGATCTGACCTATCAATAGCAAGGGTATCGGCACGCACCTTCAAAGTGGGTCCCCCGAAAGATAAGGGCCTATACCGGGGGGTTTCCGGATTTCCTAATTTCCAACTTCCCCCAGATGTGAAGGATTCCTCTCATGGGACTACTCCCCATTCATCAACCAGGGTTGTTTTAATCCTGCAGTGCCAATGACTTTTCCAGCCCTCCGCTTGTAAGTAAGGTTTGGTGCTTTTGTGGCTTCCCCTGCTTAGTTTTGGAATTCCAGAATCCGTGTCCTTCGTCTTTGGGATGTTGTCATTCGAGCCCGAGCCCAAGACAAATATGAAGCAGGTAAGGGCCGCAAGGCTTCAAACAGTCTTTGAAGCCAGAGGGTTTGCGCAACTTGTCTTGCGAAGCTCCCTGGGCCGCAATTCGCGTCTTTGGCCACACGCCGTTTCGGGAGGAAAAAGCCATTGACGGTGCAGCGGTGGCCTCTACTACCACTGAGGAGATAAAAATCGGGGCGAGACGTTCTCTTGCCCAAAGCGAATCAACGTTTTTACATTTCGGTTTGGGCTGTGTTAAGTGTGTGTGTGTGTGATGTGAAACCTGCTAAACAGAGGTCGAGGCAGACGGAATCTAACGTTCTGCTTTCAGCCAGCGTTACCCCAACGGTGAACCTGTCAGGCCAACGAAGAATGTGAGTGTGGGGAGGGGGGGTGGGGGCGGGTGTTTCCCTGGAAAATTGCATGTTTTCCAAGTTTCCCTTTTAGAGCAAAGGGCCCACGATGACAGCAAAGAAAGGATGTTGTGGTACGAGGAAACTGTGTGTAACTATTTACGATGTTTTTGCTCCTGCAGTTTGATTGTGTGTTTGTTTGTTTGTTTGTTTGTTTGTTTGCTCGTTCGTTGTTTGATTGTTTGTTTGAACGTTGTTTGCTTGCTTGCTTGCCTGCCTGCCTGCCTGCCTGCCTGCCTTGCTTTTGCTTCCTTGCTTGCCTGCCTGCTTGCTTGCTTGCTCGCACGCTCGCTCGCTTGCTTGCATAGTTCTTTGATTGGTCGGTTGGCAGGCTATTGGTGTTTTTGTTTTTTAGTGCTTGGTTCGTGTTGTTTGCTTCTTGTTTGTATGTCAGTTTGTTGGTATGTTATCTTTTGTTCTCGCTTGTTTGTTTTCCCTTTTCTTTTTGTTGTTTGTTTGTTCATGGTTCGCTTGTTTGTTTGTTTGCTTGTGTGTTTGTTTCTTTGTTTGTTTGTTTGTATTTTTTTTGTCTCTGTGTGTTGTTCGTTTTGGTTTGTTGTCTTCGCCTCTGACATGTAAGGCTCCGCCTCCGCGAAGAAGCTGGGCAGTGCTCAGGTCATGATCGAGACGATGCAGCCGGATCCCCCGATCAAAACCTTTGTGAAGGGGCGCCTTTGGCCTGAAACCCAGTTGATGGGTAGACTCCTGTTTAAAAGCGAAAAGGAAGCCTGTGGCTGGTTCTTGTTTGGTTCATTGGTTGGCTTGCGGCTGGTTCCTTGTTGATGTCCGTTCCGTTGACTTGTTGGTGTCCGGTTAGTGTCTGTTTGGTTCATCTATTGGCGTGGCTTGCTTCTGTGTACCTTTGGTTTGGTTTTTGGTTGTGTTTGGTGTTTTTTTGTTGGATTGCCGTTGGCTCATTGGTATCCCGTTGCTACCCTGCTGTTGCTTCATTGCGTTTCACCTGGAACCAACCATGCGGAGCGAAACAGCTTTGTGGAAAAGGAGCCTTCGGCCAGTTGTCTGTTCCAAGCCGAAGTCCTTTGAAGATACAGGATCCCCAAAGGAGATTCCTGTCAACATGACACCGTTGGAGGTTCCATGCTCATCAGGTGGGCACAGCCTTCATAAGTACTTGTTACCTATTCACATGGGTGTGCCTGGTTTTAGGGGACTTCGCCCATATTTGTGGTTGTCAGTAGGTTGTCCTTGAAAACGACAGAAACCTTGGTGCCCCCAAAACAAGAGACCCATAATTAAAAACATTTCTAGTTCAATTTGGCTTACATGTTTTTACATGTGTCAACGGCACCTACCCAAACACGTGAGCCTCTAGGAAACAGGTAGTTTGGTGGAAAGAACAAAGGGCAACAAGGAAACAAACTAACTATCTATGCGACCGCACTGTTCAAGGCATAGCTGAGAGTGCTGAGTTTGGGGCAGGAAGAATCGGATTGTCCTTGTTGGTTTGCGTTTTTGTCGGCTTCCTCACTTGGTGCTCCTGTTGTACTTTTTTGCCATACAGCAGTCGGTCCACGAAGTGATGGCCTGCAAACCTCACCCTGGCGAGCCCTGCATTTTTTATGGTAGGTTTTCTAGATGTAGCATTCTTCAAGCGTGTGCACATATATATATATATATAGGCGTATCGTTCAGAAATGCGTATCAGGGCAGTGGCTTGCAGGAACGTGGCAGGAGCTCTTGAAATGCTGTCGCAGGCATTTGGACGGATACATGGGCCTGGTTGTGGTGATCAACTTGATCTTGATGGCCGCAATGGCCCAGACCGGGGGACATGCCGCAGACACCCGGCTGGGCAAGTGGCACACTTGCTGTTTTTGTTAGTTTGCTTCCATCACAGGTCCATTGGAACCCTTCCAAGTGAGCAGTGTAGATTTAAGGGCGACGGTCCCAACCCCAAAACTTTTTGTTGGCCGGCGCAGCCTTTGCCATCTCTTGGGTTTTTGTTAGTATCTTCTATGTAAACCAGGTCTTGGCAGTCCTTATTTGCTTCCAATGGTGGGGGTGTAGGATGGCATCAGACGTCCAATTGCTTAAGATGCTACTTGTCCTTTTTGGCCTCTGATCTACCCTCCATGTCTGGCGGCGAATCATGTTCTCTTTTTTTTGGGGGGGTGGTCAAGGAAAATCAGCCGAAAGTGACGACTCTGGGTCATGTCATGATCCAGTTGCTCAATTCAAGTGATTTGAATGGTGAAATTGCCTTTTTCCCTGGATCCCAACCATGTAGGACACCAAGCTGTGGCATAGGGGTAGTTTTTTGCGTGTGCCTGTCGGGTCTTGGGAATGGGAACCCGCACAGTTTGGGTTCGACGACAAACCCCACACGCCCTTCACACGCCCCGAAAAGGAAGGAAGCTCCCTGGCCAAAAGGTGTCAGAACGCCTTGAAACCGTGCCTCCAAATACACTGGGCCATGCGAACTTATGTTTTGTTTTGCTGTTTGCAGAGTTTTGACCTGTAAGCCCGCTTGTTTTTTCTCTTTGAACGATGGGACTCCTAGAACAGATTCATTGCTTTTGTTCGCCGTTCGCCCGTTCGCCCTTAGCCCCAAATGAAGCCCCTCAACGAAATGCCCGCTCGAAGGATGCTAGCCTTGGCCTGGCTACTGGCAGCACGGCGGAGTTGGTAGACGCCTTTGAGGTAGCCGAGCTGGTGTTCTTCTGTGCCCCGGCATTTCGTTATTGCAATTGTCTTGCAATGTTGCTGTTGTTCAATGCTCCTCCTTTTGTGGTTGTGTTTTGTCTTATGTTTTGTGCTGGCCTCGTTTGATGTTGTGGTCGGCTGCTGTTTTTTTCCCGCCTTTTTGGCTCTCCGCTATTTGGTGGTTTGGGTTGGTGGGTTCCGGCCCGTGCTTGCAGAGGGACGGGAAGCCCCTTGACCCCCCAGCCGCCAAGAGGGAAGCTGATGAGTAATGAACTACTCCTATTGTTATTGTTCTGGTTGTGTGTGTGTGTGTGTGTGTGTGTGTGTGTGTCTGTGTGTGTGTGTGTGTGTGTGTGTGTGTGTGTGTGTGTGTGTGTGTGTGTGTGTGTGTGTGTGTGTGTGTGTGTGTGTGTGTGTGTGTGTGTGTGTGTGTGTGTGTGTGTGTGTGTGTGTGTGTGTGTGTGTGTGTGTGTGTGTGTGTGTGTGTGTGTGTGTGTGTGTGTGTTGTGTGTGTGTGTGTTTGTGTGTGTGTGTGTGTTTGTGTGTGTGTGTGTGTGTGTGTGTGTGTGTGTGTGTGTGTGTGTGAAGCGTCCTGGAGCACGGACGGAAATTCCACATTGCAGGGGGACTGGAGCCGATTTGCCTATCCAGTCCAATGAAGCTACGGCATTTCGGTGGATACCGGATCTGATCAATCCGGCGTACCTGCCTATTTCCTGACCCTCTTTCCTGATTCCTTTTGCGGTTTCTGTTTGTCGCTGTTGCTTCCTGTTCGGTGTCGATGTTGTGACCTGTTGATTTGCGTTTGCATTCAAGCATTTTTACTGACTGCGTTTTTCATCTCGGCTAGTGAAGCCTCTCGAGATAAGTGTGTTTACCCACGGCCTGTCCGACATGGCGCTGTGGGCTGGACTCGCCACATGCGGGAGCCCCCTGCGAGGGGAAGACCGTTCAAGTGTTCAAATTCAAGCTGCAGTTCGTTCAGCGCGTTGACCACGATCAAGGCTGCAGCTTGAGGTCTTAAGGTATTCCGCACCCAAATGGTGCTCTGCTGGTTTCATGCGCGTTGCACTGCCTGCACTGCCTGCCTTTGAAGCAAGGCTGCACCCACGAGGTTTCAGGTTCCTAAGCTTCATGCGCCAGTGACGAGTTGGTCATACACCAACTCTGCAATTCGTGGCGTTTATGGAAGCTTTCGTCTCGGATGAGTTCAGTTCAGATTCATGAGTTCAGTTCAGATTCATCGGCATAGCCACATGAGGCACTTTCATGAGGCCACTTGACAGGCACCTCTGAGAACCCCTTTGTGCTCGCATGCATTTCTGTGGAAACTTTTGCCGTTGCCGCGGGGTTTTGGCGGTCCCCTGGTGGAATTCCCTCTGTTTGGTTTCGATTCGCAGGTTGAAGTTGGCTCGCATGCATTTGCACCATTGACGCATTTTTGCCGCAGTTGTGGTTTTGTTTTCACCCCTTTCCAACCTTCTCTCTCCCTTGCGAGATGGCTGGACACCAGCTCTATGACATGATGCATTCGCTCCTGCATAGCATTGCGACCGGCACCGCGTCCGGCTCACCAGGCAATTGTGGACCGAACTTGCAGCTGTCATCCCAGATGACGCAGCCCATGAACCTTGTACCGTCACCCAACTCGCAGACGGCATCCTTCACACCTTTCCCCATGATGCCCTACGGCGGCCTCTCGAACTTTGGCAACCCGATGGCCATGATGCCCTACGGTGGCCCTCCCAATTACGGCAACTTGGCACCTGGCACCATCATGCCTTTCATGACTCAGAGCAGCATGCCATCTTCACTGCCCGAGCCTCAGCCGGCGCGCGCGCCCGAAGCTGCCGCTGCGGCTCCTGCCGCTACCTCCTCAACCAACCACCCTCCCCCGGACACTCGGCACCATCCCCACTCTCGCAGATCCCGTTCCCGCCACAGACAGCACCGACACTCCCACTCCCACACCAGCCACCATCGCAGGCACAACAAGTCGCACCGACGACACGACACCCGACGATCCCGCAGCTACAGCAGGTCACGTTCCCCTTCCCGACACTTCCACCACTCCCGACGTGCACACCACTCCACTGTCTCCCTCCGCTCCCGCTCCCCCCGACACAGGTCCCACCATCGACACTCCCCTGCACCCAGAGCCACGACTTCGCACCGACCCACTCACACTACTCATGATTCCACCTCCTGGCGCACTTCCGGGAAGGATTCCAACAAGTCTCAATGGTCCTCCTCACACTGGCGGAACCAATCGTGGGGATACCCACCACAGAACAAAAACCGCTGGGACATGCACCACCATGGCGCCAGCCACACCGGCCACCGAAACAACCAGGACAAACGATCGTCCTGGTCACTGCAGCACCATGGGCAGCAACCCCACCCCACTTCCCGCACCGGCCACCACAACACTAGCTTGCCCCCTCACCCAGCACCTGCGGCGGCCTTCACTTCCACTCCCCCTCCCCCTCCCCGACCCACGCCGGCTACTCCTCACCCTCCCCAACCCCCCTTCGACAACACCGGTGATTTGGATCCCCCTCCATCGGAGGCGGACATCAATGCCACCACCACTTCCGACAACCGGTGGCTTGATCTATGGAGAAACGTCATGGACACGGCCAAGACTGACCCGCTGCGAGTTCCCACGCCTAGGGAGTTGGGGGAGCTGGACCCGCTTCCAGCCTTGGACATCTCCAGGGTGGAACAGACTAAGGCCATTTTGATGGACCTGGACCCTGCTTTGCCACCTTCACATGCCGATCTCCTCGCGGAATGCTGGGAACTGCGAACCATGGACACGGATGATCCCATACCGTTCGATCCCAGCTTCTACCACCTCTTGGGACGGGAATCACACGGCATGGTGTTCGCAACCACTTGGTTTCCCCGACCTCATCCTTGGCCAGTTGCTGGCGGAGACCCGGAAGCTGGATCCGGCACGGCCTCCCATCACGCTGTCATGTATGTGCACGGCACCACCCCGGATCGAGTGCGCCGCATGTGCCATGAGAACATGATCCGACCCGCTGCTTGGAGGCCCGAGAACCATGACTACCCGAGCTTTGGATGCTACGCTCAGGCCACCCCCACGGCATGCACGCCCGACACGCTCGGCCAGCTCTTGCAGAACTTTACAATCGGAAAGTCTCAACTCGGCGCCATCGCTTTTGGGGAACTACGCTCCATCAATCAGCACAAAATCCTCGAATCCGGGGGAAGCCACGAGGATCAACACAACGTGCGGCGCCACTTCGCATGCCGCCGAGGCAAAAAGTGGTGCCTTCACTCCAAGTTTGCGATGCTGAGAGGCATCGCGCTGCAGCGCCCGGCTTAGCGGGGCGCAAGTGTACCATCTTCCACCCAACCAGGAAAAGAATTGGTGCACTGTTTGATCGCCTTTTTTCTTTGCTTTGCTGTTCTGCCTTTCCGCGACCGTTCTCTCGCCTTGTGACCTTACCCGCTTGATTCCGCTCACCAGCTTGTGGTTCGAACATTTCCTTTTCCCCCGTGTTTTCTCATGGCTTTCCAACCCCCTCGAGGTTTGGTTACGGCGCTCCAAAGGCAAAACTTACCACCGCAGCCTTCGCCCACGGCATCCCATCATCATGGCATCGTGTACGGCAACAACATGGCCGGGAACCCGTGCGGGGCCCTGTCCGGGCCTTCCTACGGATGCTCTTCCACGGCATCGGCACCGCCAGCTACACATCCGACTCCCTGTCAGACCTACGGCCAACCTATTCCCCGTTACCCACCACACCCCGGCCCTCGTCCACCCTCCTTTGGCGGCTCTCTCCCCCCCCCTCCCGGCGGCAACCCCTTTCCCCCCCCTCCCCCCGGCCCCTTCTCCCGCCCTCCCCCTTCCCCCTCCCCCTCCACCGCCTCGCAATCCAAACCTCCCCCGGCCCTTCGACCCATCCACTCAGTCCCAACACCAACCGAGTTCAACCCTGGCGACGATCACTACGACACCACCCGCGTCGCGGGGTACGACCTGCCCAAGGTCATAACGCACACCGCGTTTACTCGGCAAATGGGCATCGAGGGACAAGACATCGCTCGCGTCCCCCTCCTCCACCTCATGCACGAACAGTGGAACAGTTGGTGGTTGCGTCACCTCGCCCACGGAGGCGAAGTCCGCATCGTTGTCGCAAAGTCGATGCCGGAATCAGTGTTTGCTGCTGGACTACTCAGCCAAATCCGACAACGGCACCTCGACCTGGACGCCCTCGCCCTCCATGTAGCCACGCAGGAGGGCGCCTCGACCACCAGACCAGCAGCCATGAAGCTACTCACCAGCAAGATCTTCGACTTCCTCATCTCCCTCCGACCCACCACTACGGCCGACCCGGCCTCCGCGGCCACCATACTCCAGCTTCAGCAACAGCTTGCTGACGCACACAACCAACTCGCCCAGCAGGCTTCATCCCCCCCTCTCCCCCCCACACCCACCTCATCCAACAAACGCCCAGCCAATCCATCTCAGGCCTCCCTCCTGGACTTCGGCATGAAGCGACCACGGTTGACTACACCTGACACATCACCGCAGGACGGATCCCCCGCTCTACCCCTGCCCACTCGCATTGCAGACGACTCCCAACCCCCCCCGGCTCCCCCCACCCACGGCGGCAACCCTCCAGCCCCCTCCACCCACGGCGGCACCCCGACCCCTCCCCCCCTCCCCTCCCCACCCACTTGGAAGGAGCCCCGCGACTTGCTCCAACCACCTCCCCACGTTTGCCAATGGCTCACCAGCAACTTCCCACCCGACATTTCCGACACCAAAGTCCAGCGATGGATCACCTCTCAGAAAACCAGCAAAGAGAGCAAGCAAGTCCTAAAAAGCTGGTCCAACGACTGCGCAAAATGGGCAACCACACTGGACTCCGACACCAGAGCCCAACTCGAACGAGCCGCTGTGCTATGGGGCATCCCGGTGCGAACCCTATCAAAACTGGGGTCATCGGCCTTGGGCCGCATCCTGGCCGCTGCGAGTCACTTCTACCAGTGACTCTCAACAGCACACCGACAACGACGCACAGCCAGGCAGCACAAATTTTGGCAACACCACTGCTGCCAACTTCTCACTGTCCTCCGTTTCACTCTTCGGTTCTTCCCAACCGATGACGTCACCGCACGTCATTCTTGCTCCTGGCTACTCGCACAGCTTCAGCTACTTGACGTCTGCCATCTCTCCTGTGGTTCCGGCAGACTGAAAGCCCTGCTTACTCGACTTGGCCTGGACAACCCTGCTTCCGATTTCTCTTCTCAGCTTGTCCCTTCAGCGGTTTATCTGAGATTCACCAGCCATCCAAAGTGGCAGGCCTTTTTCTACCTCGGAGCCACTCGCGCCTCCCTCATGGCACGGGGCCGCAGCCAACTTCGCAAACTACTCCAAGTTCAGCGACATCATCTGGTCAATGCCGAACTGGCAGTCCGGTGGTGGGCACATTTTGACTTTTTCCACCACTACACCTCGGTGCCCATTCACACTGTCGTTCCGGCAACGGACCTATTTGCCACTGAACAGTTCTACATCCAGGAACTGCAACCGTCTCTCAATTTTGGCTTCATCGAGAAACATTTCCGGCCACGCACGGGCTTCATACGCCAATTGGACTTCTCCCAATCCCGGCACATGGGCTTCGCCACCATCTGGCGAAAACGCCGCCGACTACGACTACCCATCGCCCTACAACAGGCCTTCCTGGCCAAACGCGTGGACAACCGCCTGGATTTGTGGCGATTTTTGGGCGATCTTGGCAGCAACACTCTACGACGATTTGATGCCATCCGTTACATACGGAGCAGAGACTTCCCACCCGCCGCTCTCTATGTCCTTCATCGCATAGCCACACACCTGCCTGAACCACACCACCAGGCATGTCTTTCCGCCATTCGATCCAGTTTACGATTCCGGGGCCTCATTCCACCTGGCCCCTCCAGACCGATGCTTGCACCCTTCCTCGCCTGGCGACTACTGCTAACCTGGTACCGACAACGACAACCACACTCCTCTACCACACACCTCACAGTGGACACACTTGACACCTCTGCCATCACCCGCGTCTACAACGGACGCCGTCGCCGACACAAACCCACACAACGCACCCTGTGGCTCGACGACATCCCCGAGATCATTCAGGCCACCCTTGACATGCAGATCTTCTCTGTCGGCCTTCGTTCATTCAGGCAAACACGTGGGGCACCGATGGGATCCCCCGCGTCCCCAGCTCTCTGTTTGATGGTGATCGCGGTCGCCGAACAATGTTGGACCAACACTCACATCACATCGGGACTTCGCTCCGTTGAAGATACTCTCCTACTCCGCTACGTGGACAACAGACTCGTGATCGCAACCCCCAGGTGGCTCTCGACTCCGGCAGCCAACATACTGTGCGACGAACACTTCTATGGAGGAGACATCTTCCTGGACACAGAAGCCGCCCTGGACTTCTTGGGGTTCCGACTGAACCTCACAAGCAGCACCATCTCCTTCATCCCCTCGCATGAGAAGCACAACATGCTCTCCGTCAAGTCAGCCGCACCACTGATGCATAAGGAATCTGGATGTTATTCCGGACGCACGCTGATCAACCGAGTTTCCTTTCCTGAGTTTCAGCGAGGTCAGGGTCTTGCAATGTTGAAGAGGTTGCACCTCCAACACGGTTTCACCTTACAAAGAGAAGAAAAACCGTCCTTTGCGGAACCACACTGGTTTTCTTCTCTGCCTTTGCATCCTGACAGATTTGACCTGATTTTCGCGCCGCAGCTGTTTGACTGTTTGACCAAAATCCGTTACGAGCATGAATACCAACACAGCACGCCAGCTGCTCCAAGACTTCGAACTCATCCTTGGCATTGCCCAACAAGGCATCGCCACCATCCGCGAGTTCCCTGAGAGTCCGCCTGCCGAACCTGATTTGGCACCGGAGGCCACGCTCAACCCCGCCATTGAGGACCTGACCAACTCACCACCAACACCCCTCCTGGCCCCCCTCGAGGACCTCTTTGAGCCACCTCCTGATGCTCCAGATGAACACCTTCCCACTGATCATGACGAACAATTCCCTGATCATTGGGCTCCGCCCACCCCTCCTCCGTCTTCTCCCGGCGAAAAACGAGCTCGCCGCGCACGTGATTTGGCCTCCTCACGATCTACGGCATCCAAAACCTGCTCGTGGACCAAGCGAAGCTACCACATCGACCAGGACTGATGCCTCTACTGAGGCCGAACCTGAAGCCTCGCAGCCTTGGACTGAGGGAGAGATTGAACTCCTCCGTTCCCTTAAGACCAATTCCAAAGCCAAGTATGTGTGGTCAGTCATCGCCACAAGACTTTCTCGCACAATTGATGCTTGCAAGACTCAATGGGCCTTGCACAAGTGATGTCGCCCCAGTTGGGGCTCCGTGTGTGTGAAGCGTCCTGGAGCACGGACGGAAATTCCACATTGCAGGGGGACTGGAGCCGATTTGCCTATCCAGTCCAATGAAGCTACGGCATTTCGGTGGATACCGGATCTGATCAATCCGGCGTACCTGCCTATTTCCTGACCCTCTTTCCTGATTCCTTTTGCGGTTTCTGTTTGTCGCTGTTGCTTCCTGTTCGGTGTCGATGTTGTGACCTGTTGATTTGCATTTGCATTCAAGCATTTTTACTGACTGCGTTTTTCATCTCGGCTAGTGAAGCCTCTCGAGATAAGTGTGTGTGTGTGTGTGTGTGTGTGTGTGTGTGTGTGTGTGTGTGTGTGTGTGTGTGTGTGTGTGTGTGTGTGTGTGTGTGTGTGTGTGTGTGTGTGTGTGTGTGTGTGTGTGTGTGTGTGTGTGTGTGTGTGTGTGTGTGTTGTGTGTGTGTTGTGTGTGTGTGTGTGTGTGTGTGTGTGTGTGTGTGTGTGTGTGTGTGTGTGTGTGTGTGTGTGTGTGTGTGTGTGTGTGTGTGTGTGTGTGTGTGTGTGTGTGTGTGTGTGTGTGTGTGTGTGTGTGTGTGTGTGTGTGTGTGTGTGTGTGTGTGTGTGTGTGTGTGTGTGTGTGTGTGTGTGTGTGTGTGTGTGTGTGTGTGTGTGTGTGTGTGTGTGTGTGTGTGTGTGTGTGTGTGTGTGTGTGTGTGTGTGTGTGTTTGTTTGTTTGTTTGTTTGTTTGTTTGTTTGTTTGTTTGTGTTTTCTTGCTCGTGCTGGTTTTTTTGGTGTGTTGATCAGTATTATTATCGTTATCATTTTGTGTTTTCGATGGTTCAGTCTTACTTCGTTGGTTGCTCAGATGTTTTGCTGTCTTCCAAGCTTTTGGCTGCAAGCCTGCCATGCGCATATGTTGTATGTATTCTAGTGTGCCACCTGGGGTGAAACGAGATGACCCATGAAGGTCCCTTGCTTTCGCATTCCTCAATCCACGTTGGTGAGATACACTTGCGTGTTGCTGCATGGACGCATACAAGGGTTTCCTAGTCGATCCTACCAAACACAAGGGTACATGAAGAAGATGTCAAATCCTGCGCACTGGGCCTTCAGGTCTGTATGTGATAGATGTCGTGGCCCGCATCTGCATCTTGCGGAAGGAGTGGTACTATGATCGGCTGGAGGGCTGGATGCACCGATGCTGCGTTTAGACATGCAGGCCTCCCAGTGAAATCCTTCCTTTTTGTTTCTTCTTTTTTCGACGCTTGAAAGTCAAATGCCCAACAAATTGTGCCATGGCCTTGGGGGGGGGGGTTCGGGTTATGCTGTGATATTTGAGTTGCAGGTCCTTGGGGCAAGCACTAATCTTTTAGCTATGCTGGCGACGCCGCTGCTTCATCCCTGTTCAGTTCAGCTGCCCTCTTCAAATGTCCTTCCGTTTGGTGAGGCCCAGGTGTTGATATCACATGGCTCAGGTATATGAACATGTTCGACTTGGTTCTGGCGTTAGTGCATGCATTCGAGATCCTGATGCTTCCTGCGCTGCTTGGCATTTGCCGCTTTGTGCCAGTGACGGCGGCTTTTTTTATTTTCCTTTTGCATCTTTGGGCACCAAGGATTCTTCTGGGCATGCCAGAAAAGGAAGCAGGCGCTAAGTGCGCAAAGCAGGCGTGTCAGACTTTGGGCCAGTTTCCCAAGGCTCTGCCAGCGTCCCCTCGGTTGGCAAATGTTTCACCAAGGGTGCGGTTGACTTCTTACATAGTGCAAGCAGGTAGATAGGTTTGCAAGCCTTTCTGAGATTCGGACATCAGAAACCAACCCATCAAACATACAGAATCGGGATTCCATGTCCATTTTGCCAGACGGCTCTTTTCAAAGGATTGAGCCCATTCAGACCTCCCTGCCCCCAAGCAGCCAATGGGACTCAAGGGGGGCTACATTTCCTGTGGCAGAAAGGCAACATGGGTGTGGGTCAAGGTATCCAAACTGGGAACCCTGTCAACGGAAAAGTAGACTCAAACCTGCGTAACCCCAGCGGCTTAATTTTGAGCCGCACCCCGATGTTTTTCTCGTCATCCCTTTCCGAGGTTGATCTCCGGCAACTCAGACCAGCGTGCTAGCACCATCCGCGTGATCAAGTTGATGCGCATCGTCCGGACCCTGCGTATTGTCAAAACGGCTTCTCGGCACAGACGTCTTTTGTTAAAGCTTGGTTTTGGCTCTTGGGATGGCTTGGGGCTTGGCATTGTTTTGGCCCTTTGCCCTGACCGACGCCCTGTCCGTGTGTCAGAGTGTGTGTGTGTGTGTGTGTTTTGCTGCGAGTGTGTGTGTGTGTGTTCATGTATGCCTGCCATGGGCGGTAGAGACAGGCAGACAGAGGAAATAGCTGAATAGCTTTTGTCTTCTGCGGTGAAGGCTTTGGATTGCAGCAGCTTTAGTTTGCCTGGCTTTGCGCTCGGTGCAATATAGCAAGCTCATGGTGCATGTGGAGTGGCCGAAAAGATTTGGTCTGCATGGACCAGTCCGCAAACCCTGCCACAAGAGCCAGACGGCCTTTGGAAAAGTCCCTCTCATTGGTTTCGCCCGCAAACCAGGTTCTTCGAGGGGGGGGGGGGGAATCATCCTCGTAAAGCACGGTCCCGTGCAGGATTACAAGACCTGCAAGTTGGCCCAATATATATATATATATATTATACGTGTGTGTGTGGCCGAGGTCCAAGCACCTCCTAAGGACAGTTTTTGAAGGGGATAGTTGAGATTTTGAGTCAGCACCTTTCTGACATGCTGGTCTTAAGTAATGTCTTGGAAGTCAAGCTCTGGGCAGGCAAATGCGCGGCCACAATGAAACTTGCAACCTTACTCATGAAGAATGCCAATCAACATCAAGGGGAAACCACCTGGAGACTGGTCTTGGCTGCCAGGCGCAGGCAACCCGATTCAATCAAAACCAAGTTGAAGACTCTTGCAAGTGAACACCAGGTGCTTTCGTGCTGCACAAGAGCCCCCCCCATGTAAACGGTCAGATTTGTCCCAAGGTCCGATGCAAACCAAAACAAGCATGTGCGCGACTTAGGAAGTCGTTAGCCAGCCTGAACGAAAGGGATATCACAAGTAAGGAACAGGTTTGGTGGTTAGGTGGTTAAGCCAATCCAGACCACCAATTGGATGGAAGCTGAAGTTTAGAGGGCTAACCGGGACCCAAAAAGACTGGCCCCTTTTGCACCTCTGCCACCTTGGGCCAAAAAAACAACCGCTAGGTCTCGCTGTTCCGGCAGCTGCGGCTTTTGGTCTCCACCTGCGTGGCATCCATTGGGGCCTTGTTCTGGTCCATGGCGCCTCGTGAGTTGTCCGTCGGCTGGGAGTTGCCGCTAAAGATCCACTAGGTCCCCCAGTAGTGCCCTTCTACCCTTTTTTGGGGGAGGGTTCCCCTACAAAATTAGACTACAGAAAAGGGTGCCCTTAGTCTAACCTCTCTACTGGAGTCAAGGTACTTCAAGGTTGGATCTTTGGACTTGAAAACTATTTGGGTGAAATTGATGGATTATCCGAATTTGAGCCCACAAACATTTTTTGTTTTTTGCCGAGGGGTCAACCAAGGCATATATATATATATATACTGGTTGTATATCTCATTGAACCGGGGCTGGTTCGGGGGTGAGGGAAACCGTCTCGGACTCACTTCCCAACTTGCCTGTTCACCTTTTTGTCGCCCCGTTTGTTTTGTCAGTGAAGGGAAGGTTATTTTTTAAAAGTTAAGACGGGTTTCCGCGGCTTCGCAAGATTTTGGGGTGCACCATTGTGGGGATCCCAGGATAGGATATCCCCCGAGATGATTTTGACCTCATTTCCCAATTCGCGAGCAAACCTTAATCAGGGGCTCCCCTAAACCCTAAATTGGGTTGCTCGAAATCAATTCTGCCAGATGGTAGTGGTGTTCCTCGGTATTCATCCCGCGCATCAGGGAAAACTGGATTATTCTCAACCGAGCCAAACATAGCCCATGCACTTCTCATTTTCCAAATGGAAGTGTTTTCAGTACGTTTCAAATCACGCAAAAAATGACTCTCTCTCTCTCTCTATATATATATATATATATACTCATGTATCGCAAGGAATTCCGTTGTCCGACTCTGTCTTCAAAATCCCTGTGCTTTCCCTTGAACATGGGCCCCTTTAAATAATCGGTAAACAATTAATTGTGCCCTCACCCGGGTGCCCTGTGCCAATTTCTTTGATCTATGGTCCAATTGTTCCATTGGGTCATGGCAAAGCCCAGATATCGTAGCCCAGGAACCCTTCAAGAGGAACATGGGTTCCTGTTTTTGATCCGCGGTCTTATATGGCTGTGGGTATCCTGGTAGTTCTATTTTCACAGTTTGAGCCATTTCCATATTGCGCCACACATATCCTTTAGTTTTTAGCCATGCCCATATTCCGTGTATCAACCAAGAGGGATGCATGCGCATCCCTCGCACGGCATGTGGAGGTGCTGCTCTTCATGCTCAAGGTGGGTTTCGCCCTGGTGGTGTGCCAGGCTTTGCAGGGCTACATCATGGACCAGTCCGGCGACCTGGACACGCGCCTCGAGGAGCGGGAGCTCCGAGAGGGGCTCCGGGCTTGGAAACCACAAAGCCAGGTCCCCTCACCATTTGGAGGCTTGTTTCGGGGATAGCTTGGGAATGGTCAGCACCCTTTTTGCGTTTGGGACGTTGCCCTTTTTCACCTCTGCACCTTTTGGCCAAGTTGGGGGGGCTTGCCTTCGGGAGAGGTGAACGCGCTCTACGGAAGTTTCAGCAAGTCCTTGTACACAACCTTCGAGATCACCCACAGCGGCAGCTGGCCCTCGAAGGTTCGCCCTGTCATCGACAAGGCCCGCGAAAGTGCTCGCTCAAGGGGGGTTCGGGGGTGGCTCCTGGTTCTTGGGACAAAGGGCACCTTTTTCGTCCTGGCTTTAAGGAAGCCAAAAGGAAAAGCATTTTTGGGTCTCCATGTTTGGCCCGCACAAAGCTGGGTCGATCGATGGGTTGCACTTTGAGGGTGGCTTCCCTCTGTGTGTGTTTGTGTGCACGCCTTTTTGTCGAGGCTCGGAAGTTGGTCCTTTGGGATTCCCTCAGGGAGAGACCCCGACCTCATGTCCAGTTTTCTCTGGGAAGGTCTAAACCCCCAATCCGCGGGATGGCCTTTTTTCCATCCCTCGACATGTTTGTTGGAGCTTGTGCTATTTTCTTTACAGACCTCACCTGGTGTTTGTTGATGAGTTAGAGTTAAAGCTAATTGTGCATCCGACCGTGGAGAATGAGAAGCATGCATCAATTCTTCCAAAACAGAGTTGCCCTTAAGGCCTGTCTGATAAACAGTATGATCATGACCCCCCTGCAAAATGTAAGTTTCCTTTGGGAGGCATGACCTGGAGGTATACGTTACATGTCCTCAGCTGGCTCTTGGGCTCCTTGGGCTCCTATTGGCTTAGGCTAGTTGGCCTTGGTCTGTGTAGGGAAGTCATAGACCAACAAAAAAGCTCGGTATGCACGCGATACCCTCCTGTCCACATGGCACCTGACCTTCCCTCAGTTGTTCAGTGGCACCAATTCTTTTTCCCTTTTGTTTGGTGGCTGCCCCACTAAAAATTGTCTTCCCCAAAAAGGGCTCCCTTTTTTTCCAGGGTCACTCCAGGTACCCTAGGTACCCTGGCTTTGTTAGTGGACCAGCGGGTATATTCTGAGAGATTTCCGGCCCAACCGGGGGGGCTGCTGAGGTGAGCGCTTGGTATGCCGTACCCTTCCTCGGCTATATCACTCTGGTGGTCTTCGCAGTGATTCGCATAGTGACGGCTCTCTTCTTGAAAGAGACCTTAGCGAGTGCCGCCAACGACGCAGACATGCAGACCCTTGGCGAAGGTGAAGCAAGCAGTTGGACATGCACTCACTTGGTGTTTTTTTCTTTCTTTCTTTTTTGTTTGTTTTGTGTTAGTTTTTGTTTCCCTCTGGCGGGGCTTATTTGGTTTGTCATTTTGGCTGAAGAGCCCAGCAGCCCATGTGATCTTAGCCCTGCCCAGCAGCCCAGTAGCAAGGATCGACGAGCAGCGGGCCATGGCCAGGGATTACCGGAACAAGCTCGAGGAGACTGGCCACGAGCTGATCTTTTTTTTTTTTTGCGTTGATATTTTCTTGTTTTCTTTTTTTATATAAGTCTTTTTTGTTTGTTTGTTTGTTTTTTTGCATGTGTTGTTTCACGTTCCTTTAAGCAGAATCGAACTTGGGCCACTCGTTATATTAAGAGTCGCTTTTTAAGTAAGCTGAGCTGTTTTAGAGGCAGGCGGGCTTTGGATGTGGCCACGCTCTGTAACAATTCACTTTTTAGATCAGCTGTTGTAGAGGAAGGCGGGCTTCAGATGGTGCCACTCTTTTTAGCAATTCACTTTTTAGGTCAGCTGTTTTAGAGGAAGGAGGGCTTTAGATGGTGCCACTCTTTTTTGCAATGCACTTTTTAGGTCAGCTGTTTTAGAGGAAGCTGGTCTTTACATGGGGCCACGTTTTTTGTTAACGATTCACTGTTTAGGTTAGCTGTTTTTGAGTTGAAGGTGGTCCGATGGGGTCACTCCTTTTAACAATTGTTGGTCAGCTGTTTTAGAGGAAGGTGGTCTCTAGATGGGGCCACTCGTTTGTAGCAACTCACTTTTTAGGTCAGCTGTTTCAGAGGAAGGCGGTCTTTAGATGTGGCCACACTTTGTAACAATTCACTTTTTAGGTCAGCTGTTTTAGAGGAAGGCGGGCTTCAGATGGTGCCACTCTTTTTTAACAGTTCACTTTTCAGGTCAGCTTGCAGAAAGGTGGTCACTGGCGTCACTGGATGTATCCTTCAAGGATGGCCCTATTTTTGATGACTGGCCTAAAGTAGCGGAACCCAAATGAGGTCCAATGCTCACAAGGGAAAACGGGGCAGTAGGAAGCCTCTTTGCCTGGGAATCCCTTCGTTCGGATGTGTAAGTCCCAAAACCAGCTATGTCAAGATTGCAGCAAGAAGCCTTTTGAGCCTTTACATTGGGTTCTGCTGGGCCTTCTTGTTTTAGCTTTGCACCAGGTTTTAGCCAGCCTTGTTGCACACGTTGTTTTTTTGTTCGCCTTGTTTGACTTAGGAGCTGTTCAAGGCCGCAGACACCGACGGCTCTGACAGCTCGGGACTTAGCCAGGCTGTTGGACCTGGCTTGGATTGTTGAAAGGTTGATTTGGATTTTTTGGGGTTGTGTTTTTTGCGAGTACCCAGTCTTGAGTGGTTTTAAAGGAAAACCAAAGGAAAACCACCCACATTTTGCGGGCTTACGCCACTTGCCAATGGAAATCCACGTGGCTTTCCACGCTTTGGCGTTCTTTCAGATTGAAGGTTTCGGATACTTCTGGTTTTCTGCGGCATTTGCCATGGAGGGTGTTAACAGGCCTCAAGTTCATAGTGTTGGCTTTTTAGTCTTGGGCTACTGCATAGTCTTGGCAAAGTCTTTGCAACTCACTGTCCTCTTTCTAGTTCATTTATTACTTCTCCTTCCTTGGGTTGCGAGTGAGGTTGTATGCAGCGGCCCGGTCACATCCTGAGAGACTTAAATCCTTCGGCTTTTCATGATGTTTGCCTGATATGGCCAAACATTTGGCAACGCCACATCGAGAAATCTTGACAGACAAGGCAGTCCAAGGTTGACCGTTAAACCATCGCTTTCCCAACTGGTACCCCACGCGATTACGTCCAAACGCGCAAATTTGCAGGAATGTGGGTGAAGCTGACTCAAAATTCCCAGATAATCAATAGGCGAAGAATACCGGCATCCTCTCACACGGTGCACGGAGCTTCGGTGGATTTGAGTGGCTTCCATTGAAAAAGAGGCGAAGGCTACTCAAAAGCATGTTTGTTTCCTGTCCACGAACCCACCAGAAACCCCTTTTCGAGCAAGATCGTTTTCCAGGACCCCTCACACAGGTTCCAGCTTGGCGGGCAGGGTAACTTGTAGCCAAGGGTGGGCAAGCCTGGTTTCAACCCACCTCCTGTGGTAAGTCCCTTCAGCGGTCTGATCCGAGGCTTGTCCGCCTCTGAGTTCGTGACAGCGCTGAGCCTGCCATCTGTTCAGCGCAGCGTGGCTGATCAAGTCTCATGAACGCAGCTGGCATGTGTGCCAAGTCGCCCCGCATGATGTTTTTCACGAGAGCCATCAGCTCGAGTTCTCTGGGTTTGGGGCGAAAACCCAGATACTAGATTTGGTGGTGTTTCATGCTTGTCTCTCTTAAGTTTCTGCTGGTGATGCAGGGTCCGTATCCACAGCATCACCCGTAACATCGCCAGCAGCACTGGGAACATCCCTCACCACCTCTGCATCCATGCGATGACAATGCCGTTTTTTTTTTGTCAGACGCAAGCCCTTGTTGCAGGCCCGCTCCCCCTCCCCAAAAAAGAACTGTTTTTGGGGACTCTTTCTCGCATGCCTAAATATCTTTGCCTCCCGCAGGCATCCCCAGCACTCGCAGCAGGGCGAACGCTCCCAATTCGAAACTATGGCAGAAAAGTACTACGAAAAATGAGGAAGATGCGATGATCACACCAGAAGGAGCACTAGAAAGATGAAAAATATATCATGATGATGGTGCGCTTCGCGTCCCGAGCATCACCAGCCAGGCTGCAGAACACAAGCAAGGACATGTCGCCACTTTGCATGCTCAGAATCGATGCCCGGACAGCCTCAAAATGTGATTTTGTTTCCAGGTGGTTTGGCTCTTTCATATTTTTTGTTAATTAACCTTGGCATTTTGCAGAAGAAAAACGCGGCAGATGTGACGCCAAGGCACAAGAATGCTTCTTCCATCCGACACAAAACCAATTCAATTTGGACCGCGGAACCAGGGTGTTGGAACCAGTGCTTTGAGATGTTCTGTCTGCCGCCTTTGATATTGAACTGGCTCGAGTTTGGTTCTCTCAGGTGTTGGGCAAAGCGGCGGCTTGAACTTACTCCTCACGCCAGATGCTAATTACTTGCTTTCTTGTTGTAGGTGTCCTACTGTTGCGGATTTGGAGTTGGCAGGTGCCGTTTTCTTGGGGCTTTTGATCCATGAACCTCTTGCCACTATCGCCCGGATGTTTCGCGCCCAGGCTACCTGCAGGTGCTGGAAGTGAAGATTCAGGACTGGGATGGCAGATGAACGGACGTGGGTTTTGATAACCTGGTAGCTAAGGTGCGTGCCCTTAAGGCAGTTATCGATGCCCTTGTTGTGCTCATTCAGCCTGACGGTGCTTGTGAGTGTGGGTCACGGACAGGGCGATATTTTACCACACCCTGCCTCCATGAAAAGATGGAGCTATGGCACCCCCATGAGGCCCTTCCACACTTTCCGTGTGCGGATGGCGGCATTCATTAGAGGCACCATCCGGGTCTAGGCCCCCTAGCTAGGTGCCCTTTCACTGGGGGGAGGGTTCCCCTACTAAAATAGACTACAGTGTGACTACAGTAAAAAGTTGGTACCCTTGTTCTAACCTCTGTGGAGGGCCTAGGGGTTGTTCCCTGCCATGAGAAGAGTCCAGGCGCTTGCAATCCGATTGTTGCCCCCAATGGCTCCCACATAACCAGTTTTTCCCGAAAGCATCGCGAAGGGTTCTTCCGTGCGGAGCCCTTGGACAAGTTACATAGAGCCAAGTTACATAGAGCCAAGTTACATAGAGCCAAGTTACATAGAGCCAAGTTACATAGAGCCAAGTTACATAGAGCCAAGTTACATAGAGCCAAGTTACATAGCCAAGTTACATAGAGCCAAGTTACATAGAGCCAAGTTACATAGAGCCAAGTTACATAGAGCCAAGTTACATAGAGCCAAGTTACATAGAGCCAAGTTACATAGAGCCAAGTTACATAGAGCCAAGTTACATAGAGCCAAGTTACATAGAGCCAAGTTACAGAGCCAAGTTACACAGAGCCAAGTTACACAGAGCCCAAGTTACATAGAGCCAAGTTACATAGAGCCAAGTTACATAGAGCCAAGTTACATAGAGCCAAGTTAGAGCCAAGTTACACAGAGCCAAGTTACATAGAGCCAAGTTACATAGAGCCAAGTTACATAGAGCCAAGTTACATAGAGCCAAGTTACATAGAGCCAAGTTACATAGAGCCAAGTTACATAGAGCCAAGTTACATAGAGCCAAGTTACATAGAGCCAAGTTACATAGAGCCAAGTTACATAGAGCCAAGTTACATAGAGCCAAGCCAAGTTACATAGAGCCAAGTTACATAGAGCCAAGTTACATAGAGCCAAGTTACATAGAGCCAAGGTTAGGTAGAGCTTAGAGCTTCGGCGTTAGCAGCTATGTAAGTTAGTTTAGGTTTCTAAGGCGCCGGGGCGGGAGTTTGATCGTCGCTCGGGATTGCGACCCTCTGCGGAGATTCGCGTGGTCGAGGTTCAAAAACCAGCACAAACCCATAGCTGCGGCGGAAGAAACGCAGGCGCGGAGATGCTAAAATTGTCCTTCCGCAATCCGATCACGGGAGCGCCGCGCGCGCGGGGGGAAAGAGCCGCGTGCGCGGGAGGCTACAGCGCCAACCCACAACTTTTCCGGAATCTCTGCGGGAGCGCAGGCGCGGATATGCAAGACTCGCGCTCCGCAATCCGATCACGGGAGTGCCGGGCCCATAGCTGTGGCGGACTCTCCGACTGCGGGAGCGCAGGCGCGGAGACGCTAAAACTGGCCCGATCGCGGGAGGGCCATAGCTGTGGCAAAATCTATCTTGGATCAAGGCAAGCCTAAACCCGGGAAGGTTGAGGATTGGGTGGTCAGGGGTGGGGGGAGCGCTTAACGCGGCGCGCGCCGCCCCGACGCCCCTGGCGTCGAGGCGCGCGCTTTGTCTAGGCAAACCCTAAACTCAAGGCCGAGCGCCGTACTGCAAGCGCTCGGCCGCAGCAGCTGCATTGGTGCTGGCGCAGAGCGAGTCCGGCATGGCGAGCGGAAGCGCCCCGAGTTGCGTTCCTCTGCAACGAGCGCGGTTTGGAGCTTTCGCTCCCGCTGCCAGCGCCAGCTGGCCTTAGAATGAGTAACCCCAAACCTTCAACGAAGCGCAGCATCCTCCTTATGAACTTTATCAAGGCTCCTTATACGAAGCTTTAGAAGAAGCTTTATGAGAAGCTTTAAGACGCTTTATGAGGAGCTTTATAAGAAAATTTAGAAGAAGCTTTGTAAGGAGCTTTACAAGAAGCTTCTGGCTTTGATAAAGCGGCCACTGCGGCTGGCCGGTCTGATAAAGCGGCCACTCGCTTTGCCAGCTCTTTCTAAAAATGGCTTGACCTGGCCATTGATAAACTGCTTGTGCGGGACAATATGAAATCGGCCATCCGTAGCCCAAATCTAAAAGATCTGGCAATTTCCCGCTTCTGATTGATAAAACGGCCGTTGCGGCCACTGGCCTGGTCCTCAACCTTGATAAAGCGGCCATTGTTGATAAAACGGCCATAGGCTGGCCGGCCTTGATAAAACTGCCATCGGCTTTGATAAAACGGCCACTGCGGCTGGCCGGCCTTGATAAAGTTGCCATTCTGCCAGCCCTTCATAAAAATAGCTCGGCCTGGCCGCTGATAAACCCCTTACACGGGACAATATGAAATCGGCCATCCGCAGCCCGAATCTAAAAGATCTAGCCATTTGTCCGCTTCTCGTTGATAAAACGGTCATTGCGGCCACTGGCCGTCCAAGATCCCCCGCTTTGCATCGCTAGGAAACTTGTTTCGGGAAGCCCGTCCGGCCACCCCCCAGCGCCAAAACGACGGAAGCGAGCGCGAGGGAGGCTGTCGCAGAAGCTTTGGCCGTCGCCCGGAAAATTGTCTCGGGAAGCCCGACGGGCCAGCCCCCAGCGCCAGAATAACGGAGCGCGCGCGAGCGACGGCGCGGGTTTGCCATGGCTGTCGCGGAAGCTTCGGCCGTCGCCCGGAAAGTTGTTTCGGGAAGCCCGACGGGCCAACTCCCAGCGCCAAAATTACGGAAGCGAGCGCGAGCGACGCGCCCCTCCGAGGCTGTCGCGGAAGCTTCGGCCGTCGCCCAGAAAGTTTTCTCGGGAAGCCCGACGGGCCCGACCCCAGCGTCAAAACGACGGGAACGAGCTTTCGGGCAGCCCGACGGGCCAGACCCAAGCCCAAACCTTCGATGATTCTTCGCGTCGCGAAAAATGGCACGCGACGCGCCCGGGCCGGGTTTCTGCGAACCCTAAACCCTAAAAGGTTTTAGATGTGGGTGGTCAAGGGGTGGGGATGCCGCTTTCGCCGCGCCCCCCCCAGGGTCGAGGGCGCGCTTCATCTTGGAAACCCTAAACCCTAAACCCTAAACCATCTCTTCTATGTATATTTAAACCTTAATGGGGCTGTGGAACCATAATTTCCACCCCCCCTGGGGCTTTCCATTGGGCACTGGGCCTTCTGAGACCTCGACTAGGACTTTTGTCTCAAAGGTCTTCCAAAACAAGCTTTTGCTCCATTTTTGTCCAGGAACTCCTATCCCTGGCTGGCAATCCCTGATCCCTGGCCTCTGGGAGCTTCCTGGAGCTCTCAACATAGCCAATCTCCGCTTTAGGTAGCAAAATAGCTTTCCGCGGGCTCTCCCAGAAAATGATTTCTATTCAAGGTCTCAGGAACCCTTCTTCTCCTCCCAGAAAAGATTCTGTTTGTGGGAAAGGAAAGGTCTTAGGAATTGCTGTGGCAAAATAGCTTTCCGTGGGCTCTCCCAGAAAAGGATTTCTATTCAAGGTCTCAGGAACCCTTCTTCTCCTCCCAGAAAAGATTCTGTTTGTGGGAAAGGAAAGGTCTTAGGAATTGCTGTGGCTTTGTCCAGCCTCACACCCCAAATCCAGCCGCTGATAAACTATTCATACGGCGCAAATCTGGGCCATTCGCCTTCTTTCTGGGCTTGGCCAGCCGCTGATAAACCGTTCATATGGCGCAATGTAAAAATGGCCATCCAGGCTCAAAATGTAAAGATCTTGTCATTTGGCTGCTTTCTGGGCTTGGCCAGCCGCTGATAAATTGTTCATATGGCGCAATGTAAAAATGGCCATCCAGGCTCAAAATGTAAAGATCTGGTCATTTGGCTCCTTTCTGGGCTTGGCCATCCGCTGATAAACTGTTCATATGGCGCAATGTAAAAATGGCCATCCAAGCTCAAAATGTAAAGATCTGGTCATTTGGCTCCTTTCTGATAAATTGTTCATACGGCGCAACGCAAGAATGGCCACGCAGGCTCCAAGTGTAATCATTCGGCTTCTTTCTGGGCTTGGCGCAAGGTAAAAATGGCTATCCAGGCTGAAAATGTAAAGATCTTGTTACTTGGCTCCTTTCTGGGCTTGGCCAGCCGCTGATAAACTGTTCATACGGCGCAATGCAAAAATGGTCATCCAAGCTCAAAATGTAAAGATCTGGTCATTTTGTTCCTTTTTGGGCTTGGCCAGCTGCTGATAAACTGCTCATGTGGCGCAATGCTTGAAATGCAGAGATCTTGCAATTTGTTGCTTTTTAAAGAGCTCCACGCAAAAGCCCGTCCAAATCTAAAAGATCTGGCCTTGGTGTGTTTCAAAGAGCTCCAATCGCCGGGTCTGGGCTATGTTTCAATTTCCTCTTGTGGAGCAAGATAAAATAAGCAGCCGGGCTTGCGATGACTTCCAGGGTTGGGGAGTTTTGTCACTCGCGACGCCCGTCTTGAAATTTGGAGAAACTAACGAATTTTCCTATGTTGTGGGTAACCAATCTGGGTGGGTGGGAAAGCTAACGCAAAACTTCCTCAATCCATTTGATATACCCTCTAGACCCTAAACCCTAAACCCTAAACCTAACTTCTAATTACTTTAATATTAATTTAAAAGTTAAAGCCAAAACGGTCGCGCCGGTGCGCCTAACGCTGGGGCTTCTCGAAGCTTGTTTTCAAGTTCTGCGTGTGTCTTGCGAGCTTGTAAATCTGCTTCGCTGTTAGAATCCAAGTTCGGGGCCAAAATCGCAAATTTTGCAAAGCGCTAAACTTTCGCGCTTCTCAGGCTAGGCCCTTTCGGCCGCGGCGCAGCCATGGGCTCGGCGGGGCCCCGCCGCGGGGCTGGTAGTGGTCGTGCGTCTGTCTCTGAAGTGGGTGGTCCCGGGCTCGGTTCCTCCCTGGCGCGCGCCGTTGT